GCCAGATGGACTTGGCCAGCTGCACCATCAGGTTGATGGGCAGGAAGGCCATCATGTAGCTGAGAAGCCCCTCCTGAAACACACGGAGCCATTGACAGATACAGCCGGAATCGCCTTTAGTGCGTGTGGCTGCCTCACCGTGCCGCTGATCTGGTCGCACAAGGCTCTTTCCCTCTCAGCCCGACGCTGTCGCTCCTCGTCGCTCTCAGCACCACCACCACCACCACCACCAGACGCAGCAGCAGCAGCAGCAGCCGATGAAGATGCTGCCGGTACGTTGCTACGGCGAGACCTTTTAACCTGCACCCACACACCCAACACACAAACACAGCCATCCCCTCAGATGACAGGTGCCATTCATTGGAGGCGGTGCTGTGATGCACCTCACCTGTCTACCGTCCTCCTCCATGGCTAGATGTAGATCTGACTCAGCGGCTGGTCTCTCCGCTGCGATGACAACTCCAAGGCCTTCTCTGAGGCCGCAGCTAATAAGCGATGCTCAGGGCTCTATGACGTCCCTCCCTGACGCACAAACACACACAGTGAGGGCGGCACCGATGGCGGATTCGCCTTCTCCCTCTCTCCCTGGCGTACCTCAGGAAGGACAGACGCGACGATGCCGCTCAGTCAACCCATCGATTTGAGGCCTCAGCCGCCCTCGATGCTGCACAGGGGTGGCTGCGTTCCCCTGCCTCCCTCCACTTGAATGGGAAAGACCTCCCAGCCAGCCCTGCGGTCGCCTGCAGGGTTTCAAACCCTGCGAGCTTAGACGTGCACTGTGTTCAGTTCGTTCGTTCGTTCGTTTCTTGGCAGATCCCGCGCGCAGATAGCCAACAACCCAGGCCGTCCATCAGGACAGCTCATTGGCCGTCATTGACATCGCGGGTACGCAGATCAGATCTGGTTCATCCTTCCCACATAATGACTGACTTGCTGTCTGTGTGGACGTAGAGTTGCGGCTGTTTGCAGGGGATGTGACAGAGGGGCAGCTTCCATGGTGGCGGGCTCGGCAAGGGTGCGAGGACTCAACGGGCCAGCAAGGCGAAGAGGAAGGCGATGGCCCAACTTGATTCATCTGAGCGCGCTGTAGGCTGACAGAATGTCATCCTCTGGCCCCTCAACGTGTTGGCGGCCCCTCTCACCGTCAGAAGCCCTCGATGCCATTCGCGCGGCATCGTCGCCAACTCATCCACCAGCACCAGGGCCGTCGGCAGCAGCATCTGGTGCCTCCCAGCTGGTGGTTGTGGTGCCCTATCGGCAGCGAGAGCACCACTTGAGGCGCTTCCTGCCCGCCATGAGTGGACTGCTCACGCAAGAGCAAAGAGGCGGGATGATAATGGTGGTTGAGCAGGCGTCTGGGATGCCTTTCAACAGAGGTGTGTTGTGGCCACAGGTGTCGAGAGGAACGATTGTCACTTGTGTGTGTGTGCGTTAGGCAGGTCTGTTGTTCAATGCTGCAGTGGCCACCATTCAGAGGCGCATGTCTGAGATGGGCTGCGCTGCTGACCGCCTGTGGTACATATTCCACGACGTCGACACTCTGCCAAACGAACAGAATGCAGGTCAGCTTCGTCAGTCAGTGTGCTACTCCACGCTTCGTGTCCGCCAGCTGTGCATATCGTCTGCCTGCCTGCCACCATGTGTGTGCAGCGGCGATGTCGTTCTACCGATCCTGCCCGCCTCCCCTGTGTGTGCGTCACGCGTACGGCCACCCATGGGCGCTGTCAATGGTCTTTGCCATTCGGCATCACGACTACCTGCTGACCAAAGGTGGGCGGGCATCAATCCCATCGCATATGGGAGTGCATCCATGTGAGAGTTCTCTGTGTTTGCAGGTTTCTCGAACCACTACTGGGGCTGGGGATGGGAGGACAACGACTTCGAGCGGCGATGTCGGTCGGCCGGCGTGCACATCGACCGGCGGGCCTTCACCGACCGCCTCAGCCCCCCGGCCGCCGGCAGTGACAGTGAGAGTGAATCCCCTTGCCCCTTCATTGAGTTGGACAAGCCGTCTGAGAGCGACCTGGCCGCCAGGATCCAGCAGCCCGACGCACAGAGGAACCAGGAGGTGTTTGCCCGCAACCCTGATGACCACGGTGGGTGCGCAATCAGAAACAGCCGAGCAAAGCATCCATGTGGTATTTGATGGTTGCTTCGCTTTGCGTGTCTGTGTGCCAACAGGCTTGTCAGCGGTGGAGCGGCTGATGGACAATGGCTGCCTCTCAGCCCGTCTGCGGTTCGTCGATGTGCAGTCCTGCCCACCTCACCACACAGACAGCGGCCATGGGAGAGACCACGGCCACAGTCACTGTGACGATAGACGTGTCGGTTGGATCCTTGTGTCGCTGGACGAGGCGAGAGCAGACGAGTGGGGGGAGCTGTTGGGGTGGGCTGGGGAGAGAGACTGTTAAGGGACGATGACACTGAGAGTGCACACGTACGATGGTTGAGGCAGCCATCTATGCATTGGGGATCGCGCGGGGGCCAATTCTGGGGGCGTCTTATCTTGAGACTGAGAGACGTCTCTGAAGTCTGCTTCTGTCGCCGCGCTGCACTCCCTCTGTCCACGAAAGTGAGGCAAACAAAGAGAAGTAGTGCCGCGGCTCCACTCTTGGGTTCTCTGCACTGCCAGGTCAGAGGTCAATCATGCAGCAGCTGATCCTGTTGATCTTCGTTGTTCTCGCCCCCCTTGCGTCATGCGACGTTTTGTCGGTGAGCCTGAGCACTGGGACGTCATGTGACCTGAACGACATCGAGGCGAGCGGCGGCAAGACGCTCGACCAGTGGCTTTCGGGGAAGGCGTTGGCCTCCGCGGTCTGGCTCAGGCCGACAAGCTTCTCAGAAAGGCCGTACGATGTCGTGCTGGACTGGGGCAGCGACCTGACAAAGGTCAGTGACCCACGTGAGACACCATGCATTGTATGGGTCATGAATGGGCCGGTTGTGCATGTGTCGCCAGGTGCTGACCATCGTTCAGGAGAAGGAGGGCTGGTGGCAATACGGCCCACACGGAAGCATCGCTGCAGAGGTCAAGGCCACGGTGGATTCCATTGAGGCCAGGGAAACCGACAAGGGCACCGAGACCACCGTGGCCTCCCTCTACATCGCATACAAGGGGCTTAAGGCCGGAAAGGAGGCCTCACAGGTCAGACGCACGGATGGCTAGCCATACTTACATGGTCCCAGTTTTCCTGCCAGCCAGACTGATGCCTCTTATTGCTTCATGAATCCCTTCAGATCCTGCCGCGTATCCACGACGCGTGGTGCTACATCACCTACCTCCACGAAGGAGGCGTCTTGCCCAAGCGCAAGGGCCAGTTTGTGGCCTTCAACGACCTTCCAGCCAAGGGGCAGGCCAAGGACAGCGTGTGGGTCGACGCCGTCGAGCAAGTCATGTTCAAGTAAGAGTAGACTACCCGGCCGCCCAAGCGGATCAAGAGATCTCGAGCACAATTGCAATCTTTTGGCGATGACGCCTGCACAACGGATGCTGCATGAGTTGAGGAATACAAGAGACACGACAAGGGGGCGCACGTGACATATCAACAGAGGCCCTGTGCGCACCAAGAGAGCACGCTGACTGAGCTACAGTGGCACAACCAGAAAAAGGAAACACGCACAAACTTCAAACACACCCAAAGGCATCATTGAGCCCACTGCACTAACGCGCGAACAGCGCTACTCATTCTCTCGCTCGCGCCTTCCCTCCCTCACACGCCTTGGTCGCCTCCGCTTTGCTGGCCTCGGCGTAGAAGGCCCGCAGCTGGTGCTGCGTCTGCTTTGTCTATCGTTTGAACTCGTGGGCGGCCGGGGGGTGGTAAGAGGACCAAGCCAAACAATCGTTCGTCAACCTGGCAGACGAATGGGTGCTGCCTTCTACCCAGTGCACACTTTGTCCAATCCTGGCCATGAAGCGCGCGCAAATGCATTTACGTGCAGCCGCACTTTCCCAAGGCATGGAGGTGTTTTGCGAGAGATCTAAGCGCCTGAGCACTTCCTAAGGCCATCTGCAGCTGACCACAGCCAGCCGACAGGCGCATCTCTGTCCACCCTCCCTCTCTGCGCGTGGGCGCTTGACGAAGGCATCTGTGCTGTGTGTGTGGTGATGTCGGGCAAAGGCAAGGGCGGCCGCGGCAAGACCGCCGAGAAGACCAAGAAGGTCAGCAGGGCAGATGGATCGATGGATGGATGGATGGATGGATGGGCACCATGGATCTGTGTTATGTGTGGTGTGGTGCGGCGCCCTTTCTCGGTTCGTTCGTTCTGCAGGTGAGCCAGTCGGTGCGTGCGGGTCTGCAGTTCCCCGTGGCGCGCATCGCCCGCTACCTCAAGAAGGGCCGCTACGCCAAGCGGCTCGGCAGCGGCGCCCCCGTGTACATGGCCGCCGTGCTCGAGTATCTGTGTGCTGAGGTCCTGGAACTCGCCGGCAACGCTGCCCGTGACCACAAGAAGGTCAGAGAGGACAGAGAGGGTGGAGAGAGGGAGAGAGGGAGATGGGGGAGGGGAGGCGTGTGTGTGTGGGTGTGTACGTCAGACTCGCATCACGCCCCGCCACCTGCAGCTGGCGATCCGCAACGACGAGGAGCTCAGCAAGATGCTGGGCGACGTGACCATCTCCCAGGGCGGCGTCATGCCCCACATCCACGACGTCCTGCTGCCCAAGAAGTAAGAACACACCACACACAGGGAGATTCATGGGCCGAGGAGCCGCACACAAATCGGGGGGTGCCTTCTGTTGTGGTGTGTTTGTGTGTGTGTGTGTGTGCAGGTCTAAGGCCAAGGCTAAGAAGGTTGCAGAGGCCGCCAACAACGAGGAATGAACCGACACACACCACACCACACCACACCACATAATACGACACGATACACTGCAACACGTCATGACGGGCGAACCCACCTACCGAGACACACACATCGAAACACCTATACCCACACCCATCCACACACACACACACAGAAACACACACACACAGATGGGGCGTAGCGGCGATTTTGCTGACAGCCATCTCCCCAGGCACCGCCCCGACCCATACACACATACACGTGCTCACCTGTACATACCATCCATGAGTGTGTGTGTGTGGCCGTCGTCCCCCTTGGCTGACCTCTTCTCTCTTCCCGCGTCCGGCTGGCTGGCTGCCCTCTGTATCTCTCTCCCCCACATTTTTGGTGTCGATGGCCGGTTTTCAAACCCATCGTCCACACACCTATGAATGCTTCTCTTCCCTCCCCTTGAAAGCACAGACAGACAGACAGACATTCCACATCTGTGCAGCCGACACACGCCATCAAGATTGTTGGCCGGTAGCTCCGTCCTTTCCATGCCACCATGTTCATGTTTGCACGTTTCCATGGGATGTCTGCATGCATTGTGTCGATGAGTGAGTGCGTGTTAATTAATCAGTTGGTTGTGCAGATGGCTGTCGGGTGAGGTGCCTAGGTCAATTCCTATGCGTGTCTGTCTAGATGGATGGATGGATGGATGGACGAATCGCACCGTGACGGACAGCTCCATATGCGCATGCATGTGTCAGTGTGACTCTTGCGTGTGCCTGCAGTTCATGTGTGTGCGCATGTGTCAGTGTGATCCCATTTCTTCAAGTGAGGTTCGTAGCCACCGATTGCACGTCCAATGCACTAATACGCACACAGTTGGTCGACTGACTCCTTGCATACCCCACCCGCATCCACAGACAGACAGAGAGAGAGGCAGACACACAGACACGTGATAGCCCCACCCACCAATACCATTGAGCGGTGCACATAGCTGCCTTCACGGACGATTTATTGGCGTGACAGAACACGCCCACGACGCACCCAGCCAGGCAGATCCATCGGTCGCACCCACTATGCAACAGACGGAAGAAAACAACGCGAAAAACATGCACGCACGTACGAGCAGTAATGTGACCGTAGAGCCGAACGCTGTAGACACACTGGGGGAAACAGTATCGGTCTGCCTGGGTCGACTGACGAGCGCAGAGCAGGATGGCGGCCATCGTGATGACGCCATACGTACACCCACGAGCTGCAAAGCTGTGCTGTGGTACGTCCCACAGACAAACAGCACATTGAGGATTGCCAGCAGAGGGCCGACCACTGCAAACAAAGCACCAAACGATGGCAGAGATGGGATGGCAACTCACTGCAAAGAGTGTCTTCGCAGCTCGCCTCCCTACCGATGCCGTCATGGCGACGATGCCGGCCCATAAACTGACGTCAGGCATCAGGACAATCACTCTCGCTCCCTTCCATCAGCCAGCCAAGACTGCAAGCACCAACACAGCAAACAAACATCGCCCCTCTGCTTGCAGCAGCATCTCCCATTGGCTGACTCTCCAACACAGCAATGCCCAGTAGAAGCGCACCGTGGCCGCCACGTCAGGGAGATAAACACATCAGCCGACGCTTCGTGCCCCACAGCTCCATCGCCAGGCAGCTGCCTGGCAGCTATTAAGGGCCTCCTTGTCACACCCATCGTCATGGACACAGGAAGACAGACTGGGGCTGGGATCCTGGTCGCCGGCAGCAACACACACTCGACGTGACGGTTGGGAGGGAAGGACACACACAGCCGTCGACGGCGCTGCCTTGCTGGTACAGGCCAAGTCGAGCACATGAATAATGACAGATCTCGATGGCATAGCTCTTGTCGATGATGATGGGCGAATGGTATCGATGTCGTCGAGGGCCGGGGGGGCGTCAGGGGCTGCCGAGAGGGGCGAGAGGAGGACATGCTGAGATCTCGCCGAGAGATGAACGATGACCTCTCAGCCGATAATGGCGCTTCTCACAGGCACCCTCACGTCCGCCAAAGACGTCAATCAAACGAGCCCCTTTTCCCCCTCCATGGTCTTCTTTGAGCTCGCAGATCAGAGAGAAGCGAAAGGAGGGAGGGGGAAGGAGAGGCAGCAGCATCGAGGGGGGGCTGAGGCCCTTTTTGTGCCTTCTACGCCTCAAGTCGATGAGTTGACTGAGCGGCATTCTCGCGTCTGTCCTTCCTGAGGTACGCCGGACAGGGAGAGAGAAGGCGAATTTGCCATCGGTGCCGCCCTCATGTGCTTTGTGTGTTTGTGCGTCAGGGAGGGACCCTGAGCATCGCTTAATTAGCCGCCGCCTCAGAGAAGGCATTGGAGTTCTCATCGCAGCGGACGGCAGAGAGACCAGCCGCTGAGTCAGATCTACAGCTAGCCATGGAGGAGGACGGTAGACAGGTGAGGCGCATCACAGCACCGCCTCCAATGGATGGCGCCTGTCATCTGAGGGGATGGCTGTGTGTGTTGGGTGTGTGGGTGCAGGTCAAGAGGTCTCGTAGCGACGCACCGGCAGCGTCTTCATCGGCTGCTGCTGCGTCTGGTGGTGGCGGTGGTGGCGACAGTGAGAGTGGCGAGGAGCGACAGCGTCGGGCTGAGAGGGAAAGAGACTTGTGCGACCAGATCAGCGGCACGGTGAGGCAGCCACACGCACTAAAGGCGATTCCGGCTGTATCTGTGATGGCCGTGTGCTTCAGGAGGGGCTTCTTAGCTACATGATGGCCTTCCTGCCCATCAACCTGATGGTGCAGCTGGCCAAGTCCATCTGGCAGCACGCCGCACCCGAGCTCTCGGACGTCACCATCAGCTCGGCAACCAAGGAGGAGCGGTCCTTTTGGCAGCACGTCCATCTCGCCTTCGTCGCCCAGCTGGCCGCCCGACTCACCCACCTCACGTCCATCACCCTCCGCTACCCCCTCGGCGCTGCTCGCTGGTGTTTGGACGTGCTTGTGGCCATTGCAGAGGGCCACATTGCCGGCCGACGCGCAGCCAACATGCAAGGAGGGACACTGCACACCCTCACCATCCAAGGGGGGGTTCAGCTGAGCGGCGCGGCGAGGCAGACCCTCTCGAGGACTCGTCCTCCCCTCCCAGCCCCTCTCGACCCGCCCCCCACCCTCCACGCACTCGAGACCATTGCTGGCCTGACCGACGGCCATCAGGGGCTGGCCAACCAACGCTGGCTGATGCCCTCACTCGCCACTGTGCGGCAGTGGGGATGGGGTGCCGGCAGATTGGGCCAGTTCATCAGCTCGTCCCGCTCCCTGCGGCGTGTGGAGGGGACGTTTAGGGGTGAGGACTGGGCGGGTGTGTTTGACCGGGTCCCTGTGGCACCTGCTGGGCAGCAGGGGGGGCCACTCGCGCAGCTGGAGAGCATCGGCACCATCGTGGTCGATGACAATGACGCGGCGGGCATCCATCGGCTTCAGGTGAGACAAAGCACAGCACAGCGGCGCGTATGGGTTGGCTCATGATGTCCTTCCTGTATGTGTGTGTTGTTGCCTTCAGGCTGTGCTCGTTGCGCGGGGCTGTCGATGGTCGCTGAAGCAGCTGCACGTGCGCTTTGGTGGTTCCTTCTACCCCATCGGCCGCCGCACCCTGCCCGTGCTGCTGGCCCTCGACCGGCTGATCGGCGCATGCTGCCGACAGGACGCCCAACTCACACTCACCACCGCCCGTTTGGAGTTCGACCTCTCCATCTTCTACCACCCCCACTTCCCCACCCGCCCCTCACCCTCATTCAAGACCATGATCCAACAGCTGGCCCAGCAGGCCACGAGTGTGTACTACATCTTCACCCAAGACGGCCTCACCGACCCGCACGCCAACCCCAGCCAAGCGGCCATCGACATTGCATCCAGCCTCTCATTCGACGAGGCCACGAATGTGGAGGTCCTGAATGCCGACGACTTCCATCCCCCGGCCAATATTCCCTCCCCCCACCCCACCATCATCACCCACCTACAGCCCTTCTCAACCCAGGCCACACGGCTGTGCGTCGCGAGCGGATTGGGTGGTGCTGCTGGCGAGCTGCTGGCCGGCAAGATGCCCAAGGAGGTGCGGGTGGTGGACGTCGAAAGGGGGTTGGGTGGTGAGGAGAAGGTGGGCGTTTTGGCGGCGCTGGAGAGGGAGAGGGAGGTGGATACGGTGGTGATGGGGGCGGTCTGGGTCGACCAGCTGGTGGAGGCGGCCGGCAGATTGCCGACGATCAGGATGCTAGACTCCAAGCTGCCAGGTATGCCGAGAGAAGAGGGCAGTGTGTCCTTCCCTCCGTCCTCATTGTTGCCTTGTGTGTGTTCCCTTCCCTTCAGTGGCCGACGATGTGGAGGATGCGAGCAGCCTCGTCCGCGCCCGCCTCTCGTCGGTGATCCCGCACATCAGGGGCCTGCAGCGCGTGCATCTGAAGATCTGCAATACCGACGATGAGCAGGGTGCTTCCATCCGCGCCTTCCTCCCTGTCGGCATCAACATCGATGCCTTCAGCGTCCGAGGCATCGGTGGGTCGGTCGACGCCACATGGACGACAGTTACTGCAGTTCGCAATCCCTGAAGTGAGGGGACGGCACTCAATTCTCCAGACGGGCTAATTCTCTGACCTCTGTGTGTGTGTTGGTGGTGGTGTCTGTCAGGCCGGCTATTGTGTGTGGTGGATCATTGGTAGCAGACCGGCAGTGCGGCTATTCTTAGCCGACGCATTCAGTCGCTGCCTAGCATAGCTGCGGGCTGTCTGTGTCTGTGTGTGTGATGACTGACTGGGTAGTGTACAGATTGACAGACGGACGGGGGCTGCATGATGCTGGCGCGGGAGTGAGCACATCACACACACACACACTCACACACACGCGCACACACACACTACTGTCGTGTGTTGTGGTGCTGGATGACGCACAGACGGTGCTGCATCGACTGACTGACTCACTCACTCACCCACTTGTCTGTTTGTCTGTCTGTCTGTTTGCCTGCCTCCTGGCCTGCCTGTTTGTATCGATCGCTTCTTGCTGCTGTCTGGCCCCTTCCTCTCCTGCCTCCCTCAGTTCCCCTCACCCATTGGTCGGGATGAGAGGACGGACAGCACAGAGGCGAGATGGGCGAGCCCAAGATGGTATGTGTGTGGATGCATTCGAATTGATACGACTGCGTGCCGTGGTGTCAATGTCTGTGTGTGTGTCGATCAAGAAGGAAGCTCAAGTCGGCCATTCGCACACCACCAAAAGACATTATTGAGTCCATTGCACTAACGCGCAAACAGCGCCACTTATTCTCTCGCTCACGCCTTTCCTCCCTCACACGCCTTGGTCGCCTCCGCTTTGCTGGCCTCGGCGTAGGAAGCCCACAGCTGGTGCTGCCTCTGCTTTATCTGCCGCTTGAACTGGTGGGCGGCCGGGGGGCGGTGAGATGACCAAGCCAAACAATCGTTCGTCAACCTGGCAGACCGCTGCCTACCCATTGCGCATCCAGGGTCCTCTGCGGATGCGCATCTTCGCTAGCGGGACCATAGCAGCATTGTTCTGTGATCGTGCTTCTGGCCGGGACGCGCTAGTGGGTTGATGCACGCCGCCTCATTGTCCTGGCCGAGAGGGATGAATGGGATAATTATATGTTAAGGCGAGGTGGTAACGGACGGCGGGCAGCGCCGGCGCCAAGAAGGAGAAGCGCTTTGGGGCTTGTTGACCCTGGCCGCGAATTTTTAAGCGCGTTTACGTCACGCCGAGCTTGTTGGTGAAGGTTGTGATTTCGCGCGAGATCTAAGCGCCTGAGCCCTTCCAAAGGCCATCTGCAGCTGACCGCAGCCACCCGACCGGCGCATCTCTATCCACCCCTCCCTCTCTGCGCGCGTGGGCACCTCGTGAAGGCATCTGTGTGTGTGTGCGGTGATGTCGGGCAATGGCAAGGGCGGCCGCGGCAAGACCGCCGAGAAGACCAAGAAGGTCAGTGGGGAAGGCGTGGATGGATGGATGGACATCATTTGTGTGATGTGTGATGTGTGATGTGTGATGTGGTGTGGTGTGATGTGGTGTGGTGTCCTGTTTGTTGGTTCTGCAGGTGCGTCAGGAGGTGCGTGCGGGTCTGCAGTTCCCCGTCGGCCGCATCGCCAAGTACCTCAAGAAGGGCCGCTACGCCAAGCGGGTGGCCAAGGGCGCCCCCATCTACATGGCCGCCGTGCTCGAGTATCTGTGTGCTGAGGTGTTGGAGCTCGCCGGCAATGCTGCCCGTGACCACAAGAAGGTCAGTGAGGGACAGAGAGGAGGGAGGGTGGGAGGGATGTGGGAGGGTGGTGGGAGGGGGATGGGGGATGGGTGTGTGTGTGTGTGTGTGTGTGTCAGAGTCGCATCACGCCCCGCCACCTGATGTTGGCCATCAAGAACGACGAGGAGCTCGCCAAGTACACGAAGGACGTGACCATCTCCATGGGCGGCGTCATGCCCAACATCCACTCAGTCCTGCTGCCCAAGAAGTACACACCACACACCACACAGGGAGGTGGGATGGCGGCCATCTGTGTGTGTGTGTGTGTGTGTGTGTGTGCTATCAGGTCTAAGGCCAAGAAGAATAAGGAGGCGGCGCCCAGCCAGGAGTACTGAAGAACCGACACAGACAGACAGACACAGACACACCGTAGAGACTGACAGACGACACCTACACGACACAACACGACACAACACACATACATGGACATGAGTAGGGTTTGGGGTAGATCTGTGTGTCGGCCGACCGGCTGACTTCCTCTCTCTCTCTCTCTGTGTGTGTGTGTGTGTGTCTTTTTTGTCTTGGTGGCGGCGGTGCGGCCACACACAGACAGAGACAGATGGGGCGTAGCGGCGATTTGGCTGACAGCCATTTCCCCATCCACCGAGCCACACATCTCTGTACAGACACCCACGGCCCACGATTGGTTACACAGACAGACAGACAGACAGACAGACAGAGGGACGCGCCTTCTCTGTGCAGTGCAGACACACACACATCCATCCATCCATTCACCACACACATGAATGGCGCAGCGAGGGACACTTTCCTCTACGCCGCCCTCTGCCTTTCCGTAGGTGGATGTGTCCTTTGTGTGGATGAGCGTGGCTCGCTGTGTGATCAATTAGCGGCTGTGCGGTCTCTCTGCCCACGTGGATGGATGGATGGAACTCTGTGTGTGTGTGTGTGTATGTGTGTCAAGGACCCAGCTCTTCTCTCTTTCAAGCAACGCAGTGTAGTCGGACATCGATGTCCGTCGCGAGTTGTCAATTGCATCCATCCATCCAGCGCAGCACAACGACACACACAGGAATTCACTGCAGTGCAATGCGCCATCGGCAGACACCCTGAAAGTGTCTCAGACACCTCGAGTCTGAACCATCAGCAAGTCCTGAACCATCAGACTTGCTGATGGTTCAGACTTGTTTCCACTGATGAGATATATGCTGACAGAGAGTGACATTGATTTACTAGGCCGATATTCTATGTCTTTCGCCGCCAGCCCACACACATACTCATGCTGCATCACACACACTCAGACACGCCTAAAGACCTATTTCCCAGGACACAATCCATCGATCCACGGGGGCATCAATTGTCACTTGGCACAGAAGTCGGCATATCTCCTCTCAACCCCATCATAATACAGCGTCCCCTGCAGCCGCTCATCCGTCCACTGCGCAAAGGACGGCGGCCCGATGTCATTCCACCCCTTTGGCCACGTCTGGCCGGGGAAGTGCACCACTGCCGGCACAGACACATAGTGGGCGTCCGGCCACTCGACCACCACACGCCCGCCCCCAGATGCAGAGAGCAGCTCTTTCGCCCTCTTGCGGATGGCCGAGGGATCGGTGCTCGACATAAATGCCTCCGATAATGGGAGGGAAAAGGATGGATGGGAGGCGTTGTGTCGGTGGGGGTGGGGATGATAGTGGAGGTGTCTGTGGACGAGTGGCGTGTTGGCCGTCAGCGAGAGACGCGAGTCGTAATCCAGCCGCAGACCGAACCGCTCCCGTGTCTCGTCGTTGAGGAAGATGAAGTATGACATGGCCTGGTCCGAACCCAGAAAGGTCTCTTTCCCCGCCCCTGTGTCCAGCAGCTGCTGCTTGTACGCCATATACTCGCGAAAAGCGCCAATGCGGCCCAGGTGGAGGCCCGCATTGATGAACCGGTTGCCGAAGGGGCTCTCAGCAAGGGATGAGAGCATGGAGGTCAGATTGCCGTCGTGACTGATGGCAACGGACCGTGTTTCTCGTGGATTGGGCGGCATCAGGCGGCATACATCTGTCTGTTGCTGCAGCTGCTTTGGCGCGCAGAGCGTCTCGGTGCTGACGATTAGCCCTGATGAGTTGACGGCGGTCGCATACAGTTCCTTGATCTGCGTCTCGTTGAACTGAAACCACACATCCCATGCACTGATACACGCACACACACACACACAGAGCACACATCGATGGTGCCATTCATGGGTCGCGCACTCACTCCGACTCACTCGGCCATGAGGATGAGGTCATCGTCAGGCAGCCCCTGCAGGTAGCTCTGTGGCAGGAGTATCTTGACATTCCCCGCCGTCCGGTTGATGCCTCTCGCTTCGCAGTCGATGTCGTCGCTCCCAATCACCTCCAATGCGATGCTGTTGGCCGCTGCTGTGGCGAACGAGTTGCGGCACACGAAGGCCCAGTGAGTGTGGACGTCTGTGTCGCCGTCAAGCGTGGCCACCATCACAACATGCAGGCGTGGCTCGTCGGGCGAGGTCCTCTTAAGAGGGCTGCGGAATCCGCCATGCCGATGCTTAACGACGGATGACAGCTGACATGGCAACAAGGACAACATAGGACAACAAGTTGAACGACACTGCAAACTGAGTGTCTCACTGACCCACCTGTTGCTGCGGCGCTCTCTGCTCATGGCCCTCCCTGGAGGCAGCCCACACGCACACGTGTCGATGACTGAGACAGACCACCAGCACCACCTGCAGAGACGCTCGCAACCACGACAGCATCATTCGTCAGGCGGGGCAACAGAAAGTCGGCAGAGAGTGGTCATGGGGGCGAGTTGCTCTGGGGGTCAGGAGGGTATGCAATGGCGTTTGTTCGAATGACCTTTCGGACGACTGGCGGAGACTCCTCTGCAGGGTTCGGGGGTTACAGGGTAGGGTCTCAAACCCTGAACCGTGCAAATTGCTTTCGGGTATTGCGTGTGGGTGTTCGTGTGTGGCTGTCCAGCTGGATTGTGTGTGTGTGTGTGTGTGTGTGTGTATGTGTGTGATGGACAAATGACGAGTGAATACTCCACTGAGTGGGGCAATGAATAAATTGTGTGAATGGTTAAGAGACGCCGCATCGTGTGGTGTGGAGTGTACAGCAACGAGCTTCATCGGTCACCCATCAAAGCATTCTCGGTCTCTCTGTCACGCCATTCACACAGCCATCCGTTCAATCATCCCAGCAGACAGACAGACAGAGAGGGAGGCAGGCCAGCCATAGTTGCACCGTGGATCTTTGCTATCACATCCTGGCACGCACCATCCATGGCAACCAGGCGACTACGAGACAGCACGATGCAATGACGGCTGGCTGGGCTGGGAGGATATCCGTGTGCTGGCGCTCGGCTCGGAAAAAGGCACACAAAGAAGCGGCGGTCGATTTAGCAGCACGCACGTACCTGCCTTGGCCACGAAAAATTGAATACCTTGACAGAACGAATTGTCTCAAAGGGCAAACACCCCACATATGAAATGCAGCAAACGCTTCGCAGACGTATCTGCCTGTCTCAGCTGGCTATCATTACAGCAAACAACAGTCGCTACCCAACAGTCTACCCAACACAACACCTGCACACCATATGGCAACAGATAGCAGGCACGAGTCAATCAATCACAACGGAGTCAATCAGTCAACGCACGTGTCCTTGGCTGGTTATCGGTGGCGGCTGCAAGACCTATTGAATGAATGTGCTCTTGGACGGCCCCGGGGCAGGGCATGTATGTCGGGCGACTAGTCATATATGGGAACGGGCAGACCGATAGGGAAAAGGAGAGCCCATCGAACGGGCCCTGAAACAAACCACACCACACCACGCCACACCACACACCACCACACATACAGGGAGAGACCATGTGCCCATCCAGCCCATCGGTGTAGCTTTCTTCCCATTAATTTCGTCTCACTTGGCGCCCGCTTGATGTAAAAGCGTATCGGATTGCGGCCGTTGTCGCCCACATCCTTGAACGCCTCAGCCACAGTGTCGGCAACGCTGATGGATCGGTTCTGCAGAAGGACGTTTCCTGGGTTGATGTACCCGGCTGGGTAGTGACGCGACGCCTTGACCTCTCTGCACAAGGCTCCCACCTTGGCGTCCGCCGGAACAGTCACCGGCGTATAAATGATCGTGCTGTTGTCGACTTCTTCGAGGGTCACCCACTTGGTGAGCTGCCCCTGTGCACCGCCGGACCTCGTCGAGGCGGCCCTCTGAATGCTGCGCAGCATGTCGGGGGGCTGACTCATGCCACGGTGCCACCGTGCCGCACACGGCATAGTGCGGACAGAGGGGCGAAGGAATGCGGCGCCAACGCCAATCTGCAGGTCGACAGACACGCACAGAACAAACACGAACAAAAAGGTGAGGGCTCCACAGACACATCCAATGCGTTCACGCCTTCTCCCTTCCTTGCCCTTCATCTCCACCCACCAGCGTGTTGCTGCGTCCTGTCGATGGCGAGTGCGCAGTCAACCAGGGCACCATAACGGCCAGAAAGGCCAGAGTGACGCAACAAGAGATCCGGCTTTCCATGGCGGCCATAGGTCGGGAGGGCGGGCGAAGAGGGTCAGGATGCATCTGGCAGCATCTGGCGGTCCCCCTGTCACTCAACGCTCCATGTAATCGGGTCAGAATCACACGAGTTGTTCAATGGACTCGGCAACGAGTGGCAAGGAACGTTTCACGGACTTCTTTTGGAGGCCGACATGCAGCTCTGCAGCGGCAAACTGCGTGCGACTTTGCAATGACCTTTGCGTACGGTTAGATACACTCGCGTAGACACACACACGCTGAGACACACACACAAATCTTCGAGAGAGCCCGGCTTGTAACTCTCAGTACAGATGGGCTGGAGACATCTACAGCAGTGCAAGTATCAGTACCTGCCTGTCTGCCTGCCTCCCTGTCTGCCGGTCCGCGGTTGGATGATCGAATGCAGCCGGCTGCACGGCATTGATCGAGCACAGGCACAAAATCGTCAACGAGTCCAGACCGCCAGCTCAAACACAAATGACGCAAGCGCACCACACCACACCACACGTAGGTACATTATCCAGTCAGTCCCCATAGCCATTCGTGCCACAGCCAACCATTCAGCCCATGTCTGGTGTCTGTCTTGTCTTCCATCGATAACCGGGCCTGCCTGCCTGCCTGCCTGTCTGTTTGGCTATGGATGTCTTTCTGATCCAGACGCAGCAGCCACCAAAGAAAGAACCCCGCACGAACCATGAATGAGTCATCCGTACAGTACATGCAGCGGCGGTCACTGGCTTGTTGGGGTGTGTTTGTGATTGATGTGGAAAGGCAAAAGAGGCAACGATGCAATGCCCGACATGTGCGTCGCCTGACCCCCCGTCCCGTCCGTGCCACACGCACTCCAAAACACACAAACATACTCAGCCGGCGCGCCGCAAGGGAGATCACCCGCAGCATTTCATGATGCGACCTGCACACACGCAGAGACGACATGCATCCCTGCAGCAATTTTCGTCCGTGCGTGCGGTTCTCTCACGACAGCCACGAGTGCGAACGGCTGGGGGGAAGATCTGAGCATCGCCGACAAACAGACAGAGGGACACCAAGCCATACATGCAAGAGATTAGATTGATGCGGTCTGTCTCCATACCACGGGCGGATACCAACGGTAGGTGATCGAAACCTTGCTCACCCTCTGACAGACACAGGCGTACACACCGATGGATGGATGGATGGATGGACAGACGGCTGATCCCCTTCCTCTCGACCAGCCACTCACTCAGTCACTCACTCACTCACTCACTCACTCACCACACTGAGTTTGCGACCAGGCGACCATCCCAGGGCCTTGACCACTTGCGACTGCGACTGCTCCTGCACAGCACACAACAAGCGACACCCACATCTCCCGCCTCCCTCACACATGCATGCATGCATATGCGGATGGGTGCAGTGCACACTGACCTCTGCGGTCGGTTGCTCATCCTCCTCCTGTATGACCCCCAGGGCCTGCAGCTCAACACCATTGACGCCACCGGCCACACGGTGATGTTGCATGTCGCTGGTGTCGTCGTTATTGGCGTTGTTGTCGTGGTTGTTCGCGACCTCTCCCTCTCCCTCGGTCACCCCCGTGGACAGCTGACGGATGTCCGGCCGGGGCTGTCGCACTTTTACCACGGTGCCCTTCTCATCCTCTGCACTCACACACACAGACACAGCAGGATACATTGAATGAACGCACTCATGTCGTGAGGACTGTGAGTACACACCTTTCCCTTTGATTTGGTACAAAGCCGGTCCCAGCTTTCGCTCCTTCTCGCGCCACGCCCGGATGGCAGCAGTCAGTGCTGCATCGACACGCAAACCGTCACAGTCAGGCCTCTCACACACACACGAATGCAATGCGTACCTGCCTCCTTGTCTGCTGCGATGTGTGGCTCGGTCTCCAGCGCCTTTGTGAGCTCTGGAGACACATAGAACACCACACATGTGACAGGCATGTGACAGGCAGGTGGCGAGGCACATCAGCCCACACTCATCCATTCGCGCCTTTCTGGTGCTTTTCGATGGCCTGCTCTCGAAGGCAGTGCTCGAGGGCTGCATCAACACACATACACACACGCGCACACACACACACACACGTGAGGCACTACACGCCCATGCCTCTGACTGACACACCTTCTGTGGACGACTTGAACTGGGAGGTTCGCACATTGCCGCACTTCTTTCACCCCAGCGGGCCACAAAATAACTCCAATACACGGAGCCACCAGGCAAATGGCGTACTGAGATCCACACAGCAACGGATGCATGTAGCTGCTGTGCTGTGTGCGTGTGTGTCAGGGCTGTCTTCCTCTGTCTCCCTCTGTGTGTGCCCGAGTCTGTGTGCATGTGTGTGTGTGTGTGCGTGTGTGTGTGAGAGGGGGGGAGGGGGACGTACCTCTGTGGGCGCGGGATGATCTTGGCGACCTCCCAACGAACCACATCTCCCGCTGCCCCAGACTAAACGAGGCACACAGGCAATGAGAAACCACACATGCATTTGTGTGTGTGTGTGGGTGGGTGGGTGCAGGTGGTGACCTTGAATGTAGAGTTTAGCCCGCCGATGTCGAAGTTGAACTCGGCGTTGACGATCTTGAGCAATTTCTCGTCATTGATGCCCTTTGCCGCCGTGCCCCGCGTGTCGACAGACACATCCCAGAGGCCACCATCGCTGTAGGGAGGCCGGAGAGGCGGATATGTCACCTGAAGGGACCAGACACACATACACAGATGAGCAAAGCAATTTCTCTCCAGGTGTGTGGCGTGACCTTGATGAGGCACTCTCGACAAAGTCCGCTGTCAACCAGGGAGAGTGCCACCCACCGAGCTGCAAGTCCAGCGACCCGGGCAACCTAACCGATCAACGACGCACAAGGACAAGGTCAGCAGATGGTCAGAAGGACGGCAGGCAGGCTGTCGCTCGGACTTACGTGAAGACCGCCGTGGATGTGCATCCGACCGTACTGGGCGTCCCACTCGCCGAACAACTCCACTGTTATGCGACCTGGTCGCGTAAAAAGACCATTTTGCCCTCCATTCATTCCTCCTGGTTCTTTGTCTGACGCCCCACTCACGTCCGGCAATTGCGACGAGCATCTGTGCCCCCCTGCACAAGATTGTAGTGGATGTGCAGGTCCTGTTGTTGATGATGGGCTTGATGACGAAGTCCTCGACGTCCTTGTACAGCGTCTCAGAGAGAGAGTCCGGGATGACTCGTCGCGCGACGGCGAGGATATGGTGGACGTGGCGGCCGTGGTCGTCCTCCATGGCGACGAATGTCTTCGCGACTCCCGGGTACAGGTACGGCAATTGGCCTGAAAGACATCCCAGCGCAGAGGGGATGTCATGTAGTGCTATGTGCGAGTGTACCTCACGTCTCATTACCGGTTTTGACTTTCTCGAGCACGTTTCGCAGCGTGTGGACGATGTCTTTGGTGCCCGGCATGTGTTGGGGGGGGTCGTTGCCCGCGAAGCCGACAATGACTGCACACACACACACACACACACACGCAAGACATCCACGCAACCGTCATCCCTCCCTGCACCGGCCCCTCTCATGTCCGACCTAGTTCATCCGCAGCCTTGACCAGGGTCGGTGGAAGGCCAGCAATGGCGTTCACGTCCACATCACTGTTGGTGAGGATCTCCCAGAAGGCCACCAGGTTGCTGGACCGCCCTGCAGACGACACAGAAGGAGAGAATGGGTGTCGGTGGATCATGCACCCGGCAGCCTTTGTTGTCCGTCGTGCTTACCCGGCTGGTGGACCTTGACGCTCAGCACCTTGGTGTCCTTGTCCTTCTTGATGCACTCGTCGATGACTCTCTCCACCACGCACAGCCCGGGGAGGCCGGTGGACCGGATCAGGCTGGTGATGTCCATGGCCTGATGATGGATGAAAGAGAGATGCCAAGGACGACGGGATGGATGAGGGGGGTGAGCACTAGAGAGGGAAGATGCGGGCGCTCCGTGGGGATGCGTCCACGAGAGATGCCGAGCAACGAAGGGGCCGAAGGTGATGACTCTCACAGTCGAAAGACACTCTCACAGTCGAAAGACGGATTTGGAGAAAGCGGAAGATCTGCTCAAGAGCTCGCAGATGAGGCTAGGGTACCTTGTGAAACCGCTGTGCAGCAGAAGGTCGCCGAGTTCGTTGCTGACGTCCAGGCGCTCAGCGAAGCCGCGTCGCGCGTCCCCCAGGAGGCCCTGTACGCGGCGGCCAAGTCCCTGCAGGCCAAGTGGATCTACCTGCGTCGGGTCATGCACACCACCTGTGAGGACTTCGAGGTCCTCCGCGACACCATCACCGACACGTTCCTGCCCGCACTCGTCGGCACCCCACAGCCCCTCTCTGACGACATGAAGCGGCTGCTCCTTCGCCCTGTGCGCCACGGCGGCATCGGCCTTGTCGACCCGTCCTTCCGTGCTCCCCTTCCGGCCCCACTTGACGGGCAGACCGACCTCTGTCAGCTCACGCGCAAGGCCTCCCGGGCGGGCACCACCATCCTCGCCCACGCCATCGCCACCTCCGCCCCCCATTACCCCTCCGCAGCGCATCGCAGCCAGATGCACAGGGCCAGGAGAGTCTTCCGAGAGTCCCTCGATGAGACCTTCGCCCACGACTCGACAGCCATCATCGGCCGCCTCCCTCCCGGCCAGGCCAGGGCCGCAGAGCGTGCTCGCTGCAACGACACGGGGCAGTTCATGACTGTCCGCCCGTCCCAGCTGGACGACACCGACCTCAGTGCACTCGAGTTCCGTGACGCCATGTGCCACCGGTACGGCCTGCCCCACCAGGACATGTCAGACAAGTGCGACGGCGAGCGCCCGAATGGGGCGAGGTGCGGTGCCGACTTCACCGTCCAACACGCGCTTGGCTGCTCCCTGGGCGGGCTGGTGTACGCCAAACACGACCGGCTCAAGCACGAGGTCGGCGGCCTGTGTCAGCTGGGCGGACTCAAGGTGGCGTACGAGCACACGGTGTGGAAGGAGACCGCCCACGCCGCCGCCGCCCGCGACCCCCGTGCCGTTCCCTTGGGTGTGACCCCCTGCGACGGTGCCGGCCACCCCCATCCCCCTCCCCCCCTCCCCTCGCCAACTCCCCCTCCCCCGCCCGACCCACCTGACCCTCCTGACCCGCCCGACCCACACACTGCGCCCGACGAGCCTGATGGTGTCCCCAACGACCCCACCGTCCGCACGGACCTGTTCGTGTCGAGGTTTTGGCCAAGCGGCCGCGAGCTGTCGATCGATTTCTGCGTGACCGACGCTGACACTCGCTGCAACCAGGGCAAGACCACCGGCACGATCACCCGCGAGAGAGAGAAGCTCAAGAAGGACCACCATATTGACGTGTGTCGGCTCAACCGCATGGACTTCACGGCATTCATCGTGACGTGTGACGGCGTCTATGGGAGGGAGGCCGATTGCTTCATTCGCCGCTTGGCCGAGCTCATCAACAAGAGGGGCGGATGGGACAGATATGGTGTTGGCCGGGTCGAGCAATGGATTCGGGCGCCGCTGTCAGTGTGCCTGGCTTGTTCGGTGTCTGCGTGTCTGCGGCGGCCCAGGAGGAAGGGCCGGTAGCATTGGTTGTATCAGCGGGGGCGTTGGGGTGATGGGGCTGGGATGTTCGTGCCTGGGGAGCCTCTCATTTTCTGAGGGTGCCCCCATGTGAGTAGGCGTGTGGGGATAGTATGTGTTGATTGGCCTGGTTGCCTGTCAGTCTGGTTGGTAGTCTGTCTGTCTATCTGTCTGTCAGTCCGCATGTCTGTCCACTGCATTCGCGTGTGCTGCTCATGAGCATTGTTTGTCCATTTGGGTGTCTGTAGCTCGTTATCATTGCATTGCGATCGACTGTTCATGTTTGTCCGTGCCGTGGACCAACACGTGTGTGGCCCTCGGCGCATCGTTACACATCAAGCAATCAATCACATTCAGGCGGCCTGCCCGGACAGCTCAGCAACAAGGCCCTTGAGGACAACGAGATCAAGCGTCACATCACCGACATGATTATCGACTATCGCCATGAGCCGAGGGAGGGCGAGGAGAAGCGAGTTACCTGGCGGGACATGATCGGAAACGCCAGCGTCAAACGAAAGTGAGTCGGGATGAAACGGTGCATCAATAACACAGTAGATTCGTTGGCGCCTTTGTGTGTGCAATGCAGCCTTCTGCAGCTGTTCTTATGGCCGGCCAAGTATCCAGCCGAGTTCACGGGGCTGCTGGCCCCACAAGAGGGCCTTTTGCCTTTCGGCCCACCCCGCAACGGCAAAACGATGGCAGCGAAGGCAGTGGCCTCCAAGGTAAATGAGCTGCCGCGATTTGCTTTTATTGTGTACTGCTTGTTGTCTCTTCCATACAGTGCAAGGCCACTTTCTTCAACGTGGACGCCGCCTCCTTCGGCTCCAAGTGGTAATGCCTGCAATCACACTCCTGTTGTGTTGGTCATTGTGTCCTTTCTGTGCTGCTGCTGCTGCTGTTTGTGCATTTAGGTTTGGCGATAGTGAGAAGATGGTCAAGGCGCTGTTCGAGGTGGCCAGAGAGCGTGCTCCGTCCATCATCTTCATGGATGAGGTCGACGGGATCATGCCAGCGAGCGGCGCTGACCTAGGATTTGGCTCTCAAGCCCTCAAGTAGGCATTGTGTGTGCCTTCGCACACTCACCCTCACCGATCTCCTTGTCTCTGTACCATTGTATGCAGCCGCATCAAGGCTGAGCTTCTGGTCCAGCTGGACGGCCTGCCCACCACTGCTGATCGCGTGCAAGTCATCGGTGCCACCAACAGGCCATGGGACATCGACGTCGCGTTGCTGAATCGGCTGCCGATCCGAACCTATGTGCCTCTGCCTGATCAAGAGGGACGTGCGGCGCTGTTCCGGAAGCTGCTGGGCACCAACACCAGGGGCCACACGTTGACCGACGACGATTTCGACCACGTGAGCACGGCGGAAGGATATGAATGATAGTGTCGATACGCAATTGTATGGCTATGTTTGATGCAGGTGGCGATAAAGACGGAGGGCTACTCGTACCGTGACCTGACAAAACTCTGCCGAGAAGCGGCATACGTGTCCGTTCGTGAGGCCCTCATGACTGACGACGTCGACGAGTGCCTGGAGGACGAAAGCGAGGCGGTCATGGCGCTGCGGAGCCGACGATCACTGCAAGTCAACAAAGTCCTCACGGCAGCGCAGAAGATCAAGCCTACCACACACCCGCAGCTGATCGCAAGACTTGAGGACTGGAAGAACGAGTACGCCGAGCAGACATAGGGTCGGGCAGATAAGAGCACAGAGAAAGGGCCGGGGCAGACAGCTGCGTGGTTGGGTGGTTGGGTTTTTGGGGGGCTGAATAGCTGACCACACGGTGATTGTGCTGCAGTGTGCGGGTCACGCACTTTTGGTCTGTACGGCGGGAAGCAAGGCCGACAGAGGGCTGGCCTGGCCCCTCACTCAGTCTCTCTCTGTGCTGCGTGATGCGGCGCTTTCTCTTCTGCATCTGCTGTCGTGTCGAGCAGTGTCTGTCTTCCTTTCTGTGATGCATGCATACGTATGCATCACAGACCGTTGTTTCAAGGCACCATCGGTGCGGCGGGCAGACAGGAAAGCTCCATGGCTAGGCAGCACAGCTGCCCAAGCCTGGCATGCCTAGCCTCTGTGTTTCTGCGCGTGGATGGAGAGGAGACCGCTTGTAAGACTGACTGAGGCATTCATTCGTCGCGTCTGACTTGATATTTGGATGGCTGGGTGGGTATGTGGATTGCTAAGACCGAAACCCTCCCTCCAGTGTGCGTGCAGTTGTGTGTGTTGTGTTGCCAACGCCCGAGACGCACGCACCAGAGAGCCGCCCAGCCTTCCGTTGCTCTCTTCTATTGATTACACGTCCATCTCTTGTTGGTCACCAGATGCGTGTGCGTATGCTGAGGCTGCGACGTAGGCTGCGATGTTGATGTGCCGTGCCTCTGTCTCGTCTCGTCTCGTCTGTCGATTGGTGTTTTGGATGAATGGATGGATGGATGGATGAGTCGAGTCACAGATTGGCGAGCAGATAAGAGCACAGAGAAAGGGCCGGGGCAGACAGCTGCGTTGGGGGCTGAATGGCTGACCACACGGTGATTGTGCTGCAGTGTGCGGGTCATGCACTTTTGGTCTGTACGTCTGATGAGAGTGCAAACGCATTTCCTTTTACACGTGAGAGTTGTCTGGACATGCATGCAATCACGGAAAAGCGGCTGACCCATGCTGAGAGACATCATCAGTCACAAAAAAGGGCCTCAAAATGCATGAGAAAGCCAGGCAGCTGCCTTGTACCCAAGTATCCCATTTCCTTTCGCCGCAGCAATCGCAGCCCTCCCTCCATGCTGCTGTACTCGTAGTGGCTGCCCTGAGCTTGCTTGTTTGCTATCTGACCCCACACACCCTGAGAAAAAGGATACGGCTATCATGTATGGTACTGTACATCACTCGACTAATCATCTGTCTCGTCCAGAAGCATGTAGATCATGGGCGCCCCGTCACGAGTGTCTGTCTTCATTGACACACCATTCACCGAAAAATGTCTGTCTGTTTTTCTGTCTGTCTGTCTGTCTGTCATGCCGTTACGACGGGCACCCACGGCCCGGGCAGCCCTTTTTCTTTCGCGATTTCCGGATACACCCACAGCCATTTTCCTCGCCTCCACTGGCCGTCTCTCGACAAGGTCTCTCGCTCCATCACCCACCGCCCATCCGACCGCAAACACTTTCTTCTGGGACCGAGACCTGCGAGCGGGATGAAATACTGCTGTGTCGTCCATTGTGGCCTGATGCCGCCGCACTGGGAGGTTGGAGGAGGGCAGAGGGGGGACTGGCAGAGGATGGAAACGGGGTGCTGGGCGGGAGACACAGAAGTCCGAACGGGAGTCTTGTCCACCCGCCTGCACTCGGCAGTCCCCTTCCTCTTCTGTACGAACATCGACACACAGACAGACAGACAGACAGATCTCTACGGCATGGACCATATTGAGCTCTTGGGCTACGCACCAGATTGGTCAGGTCGCTCGCATTGGTTTCTTCCGTTGCGGCAGCGCTCACGGAGTCTCCTCGCCTGTAGCTGGCGAGGAGCCTCTCGGGAAGGGGTGGGGGCGGTGGCATCAAGAAACGCACTCCTGGGCCCCGAACCCTCACCCACTCCTGATATAACGCCAGAACCTACATGGAACACACATCGAACAATGAATGCATCGGAGACATATCGATGCACTAGAGATCACTTCGTCGATCGTTCTTGCACCCCCTACTCCGGCACTGTACAGGAAAGCAGACAACTTGCGAGCCTCGGCACTCTGAGAGAGAACAAAGAGATTGTACCAAATCGTTCTTCTTCTTTTTTCAAGCCCTTTCGCTCACGTAGTCAGGTTTGTCGCTCAGGAATCCGTTGATGAAAGCGCCTGAGACGAAATGGCTCACACAGTGTGAGGCAGCTCTCTCTTATCCATTTTTGTGCTTGTACCGACGAAGAGGAAGTCACCAATAGGCGCTATGCACTGAACCAACACACGGCCGACAGACCCAGCCTTAATTCGCTCACGCTTGCTTACGTCACGGTGTCCGTCTGGTGTTGGGCGAAAAGCTTGCAGGTGATCGATATCAATGAGCACCGCCCTCGCCCTGCCGTCTTCGCCTCGCTTAATACAGACATTCTCTGGCTGCACAGACAGCGGGGAGAAAAGCACAAACAGCGCCAGATCACGAACAAATAGAATAGCACCGAAGTATGGTCCCTCTTACGATCAAGTCCGAATGCGCCAACCCCCGGTCGTGCAGCCACTTGAGCCCACTCAAAATGTCCCCAATAAGCGGCATCAGGATCTTCTCCGTAACCGCCCCCATCTCCCAACCATTAAGCTCCTCTACCTCTCGTTCTACCACGAGAGCGCTGAGATCCATCAGGTCTCCGCCTACACACACAGATATGCACAGACACAAGGATTTTGATTGATCGATTGGTCCACTCTAGTGGATGGATTCATCACCTTGGCACCACTCTCCGAAAAATCCCTTCAGGCCAGAAGACCAGCCATGTCCGGGAAGACTCGTCGTGGAGTAGAGGCCTTCGATGCGGAGGATGCTTGGATGTCGCAGGCCGTTGTCAAACAACCAGTCCATGCCATTCTTCGGAAAGAGACCCGCGTCCTGAAACGAATGACCCATACAACCACCGGCGGGGAAGTCTCCTCTGCTCGGGTGTGTGCTCACCGGATCGTATATGTTGACTTCATCGTAGTCGGTATTCACCTTCAACACAACTCGCTTCTGGTCTGAACAATTCAGAAAACCACACGAGCAAGTCAGTCAGTTCATACACAGTACTGGGAGTTCACCTCGCAAGTCGAAAAAGACGATTGCGCATCCATGCCGCCCATGGCACCCTGAGCTCCCGAGCCCCATGCTCCTGTCCAGAACAAAACGCCCCCCGAAACCGCTCTCCACCCTTCTCTGAAATCACACCCAAAGAGAACTGCGGCAAGATTTATCTTGCTCTCATGGATCTAACGCAAAAGTGGTCGATGAGGTCGCCCTTCTGCTCGTTCGTGAGACGTTTCTGTGGACAATGCGGAGCAATCATTCGCCGCTGCTCTTTCGGCCTGATTGATGATCGCCTACCGGTGGGGTGAATGTCACCATCTTGGGCCGATGAAGATCTCTGCCAACAGTCATCGCGCGGGAGGAATCGTTGGAAGAATCACGAGCATAAGGCCTGCGAGCTTACCAAAGGAAGCTCGCATTGCCAGAAGGGCTAGAGCCAGAAGGGCTGGATCATGACGCTACGAATGAATCGGCTGCAGCCTGCAATGACGTCATTCATCTTTCTCCTTTCATCCTTACTGATCTTTCATCTGGTCTCCCGGACAAGCGCTTTCCTGCCCCCCTCTCCCTTGCGTCAGCAGCGGCAGCAGCAGCAGCACACAAGGCGGCGGCCGCCAGCTTCACCGCAATCTCGTCTGCTCTCCCATCGGCTGAGCACCGTTGATGTGCCGCGGCACAGCGTCAAGAGGCCCCTTGACGATGATCTGCGAGAGGTGGATGTTGTGGTGGTGGGCAGCGGGATCGGCGGCCTCTCCTGCGCGGCGATGCTGGCGAGATACGGCGTCAAGGTGAGTGCACTGGTTGCAGATGGGTACAGACATGTTGGATGGATGGATGTGGTTGCCGTCGCTGGCTGGCTCTCTGGCTGTCTGGCTGGGTGATCAGGTGCTTGTGTTGGAGAGCCACGTTGAGGTGGGCGGGGCGGGCCACTCCTGGGAGAGAGATGGCTTCGTGTTCGACAGCGGACCCTCACTGTACTCAGGCCTGACCAGTAAGTAGGCAGCCAGCAGACACCAGACACCAGACAGACAAATGTCTGCGGTGTGCGTGATAGATGAAGATGTGTGTGATATGTGTCTGGTGTGTGTATGTGTGCCGTGCCAGTCGACCCCTCTCCCAACCCGCTGAAGTTCGTCTTTGATGCCATAGGGGAGTACCCATCGTGGTAGGTACACCACCCCACACCACAGTCAGGCGTTTTGTGACCGAAGCCAACCGACCTTTACCGAACGAACAGCCAGGCTGCATGCCATGGAAAGCTACCTCTCTCTGGGCAGGTTAACCTATGACACCTGGGGCGTGTCCATTCCGGGCGGCAGCTTCGACGCCACGATCGGCCCGGGGCCCTTCTGGGCCATACTGGACAGATTCGGGGGACCCAATGCAAAGCAGGTCAGCGGAGTGGACAGAGGGAGGGAGGGAGGGAGGGAGGGCGTGTTGTGTGCTATGTGTCCTGCGTGTTTGTGCATTGTGTAGGAGTGGTCCCGGTTGATGGATTACATGCAGCCCTTGGGCGAGGCCGCGATGGCCGTGCCATCACCCGCACTCAGGAGGTGCAATCATATCACGTAGATGAGACGGAACTACACGGACGAATGCCGGTGCACATCGTTGTGTGTGTGGTGAGGGGTTCAGTGACTTGGGCGCGCTCCTGACTCTGTCCCCGTTCTTTCGCGAGCTGCTTAAGACGATACCCAAAGGCCCCAAACTACAGGTCAGGAAAAAGGAAACAGCCGTCTACCTTTTGCGCCTATGCATTCCACGCGTGTGTGTGTGTGTGTGTGTTTGCTGAGAGCAGGGTCCGTTTGGGAAGATGCTGTCTGAGGCAGGCGTGACGGACCCCTTCATACTCAACTGGCTCAACATGCTCTCATTCCTACTACAGGCACGTACACACACACACACACACAAACACGCAGCTACACGTACACAGAGGGAGAGAAATGCCCTGTCCCATTGTCCCCTGTGTGTCTATGTGTTTCTGTACTTGCTCTCCCAGGGCATGCCGGCCGACGGCACAGTGGGTGCCGTGATGGCATACATGCTTGCAGACTGGTACCGACCCAATGTCAAGCTCGATTACCCAAAGGGAGGCTCGGGCGCCATCGCAGAGGCACTTGTGCGGGGTATACAGAAGCACGGCGGGCACGTGCTGGTCAACGCTCACGTGGAGGCCATCACTTTGGATGAGAGGGGCGGGGCGAAGGGAGTGCGGCTGAGGGGCGGGCAGACTGTGAGGGCCAGGAGGGCGGTGGTGAGCAACGCAAGCATGTGGAACACGCTCAAGCTGCTCGGAGAGAATGAGGGGCACGCCAACGTCAGGAAATTCGCTGAGAGGGTGAGTGAGGAGATGGAGAAAGAGAGAGAGGTGTGGTGCAGCTTAAGGTGGTTATTGATTGCTTTGGTTCCTTCTTTCTTGTGCAGGTGGGTGAGTATGAGCAGGTGCCGAGCTTCATGCACCTGCACGTCGGCTTTGATGCAAAGGTAGGTGACTGACTGACGCACATGACATGCAGAGAAGAAAGAAAGAGGTCGCTTGACAGACGATGCACATGTCATGTGTGCAGGGTTTGGACCCAATCCAGTGCCACTATGCGGTGTGCAACGACTGGAGCCAGCCCATCGACGCTCCAGGAAATGTCATCATCATCTCAATACCATCCGGTACGTCCGTCAGACAGCGACGCCACACCCTGGACCACACCCACTGCACCTCTCTCTCTTTGTCAGTTCTCGACAGCAGATTAGCTCCCGATGGCCACCACGTGCTGCACGCCTACACCGCCGGCAATGAGCCATACGAGCTCTGGGCCGACCTCAAGCCAACCTCGCCAGAATACCGCCAACTCAAAGAAGAAAGAGGCGACGTACGCGTGGGTGCATAGCAAGCAGTATCCAGGCATCCCTTTGTCTGTTCCTGTCAATGAATCAGATTCTGTGGCGAGCGGTCGAGAGGTTCATTCCCGACATCAAGCGGCGCGCGAAGGTTGCCATGGTGGGGACACCCAAGACGCACGAGCGATACCTCAGGAGAGACAGGGGCACATACGGCCCGGTGCTCAGGTACCTGAGCGAATGAGCAACCTATCCACGTACCTCTGACATAGAGGTGTATGTGTGTGGGTGCAGGGCGGGTGAGCAGACTTTGCCCGGTGCAGGCACACCCATCCCGCGTCTGCTGTGCTGTGGAGACTCGGTGTTTCCGGGCATCGGGGTGCCGGCAGTGGCTGCGAGTGGGTGCATCGCCGCACACAGCCTGGTGGGGGTGGGGCAGCACTACCAGATGTTGCAGAGGGTCTTGAAGAGAGGCGAGAGGACGGCAGAAATGGATGTGACAGAGTACGAGCCTGCAGCAGCAGCCAAGGCAACAACCCCTGTCGGGGCAAAGTGATCTGACGTGTGTGCGTGGGGTCTGATGAGGCTTGTCTGCAGATGAAGCGTATGACATATGTATTGGCTGGCATTGGGGGGTTTTGTGTACACAGGAGACCATTGGTTGTACGGCCATGTATGGGTCGGGTCGCATGAATGTGTTGATAACATAGCAATGCAATGCAATCGCGAGCGAGCGAGCGAGCAGCGGTCCAGAGAGAGAGAGAGCAACAGACAGACAAATATGTATATTTGACATGCAGGACGACGCACATTAATGAATGCGACACGCACATACAGCGAGCGTACACACGACAGACAGGCCCTCATCGATCGGATCGGTCATTGGCTGCTCCTCTTCATGGGCCTCCCCCTACACACGCACACAAAGAGTACACACACACATACATTCACCACTCGCTCTTTGTTACCTTCTCTGGCACTCAGCAAGTGTCTGCGAGATGCTCTTCTGCTGCGCCACCATCGCCCGGCTCTGTGACCGGGCTGTGTGGGACAGCTCAGAGAGCATGAGAATGGCCTGGAATGACCTCTTCAGCTGGTCTCTGTAGAAAGTCACACTCTCGGACAGCTCGCGAAGCTGGACACACACAATGAGAGCCAATCGATGGATGGCCGGATGTATGTGGCCTTGCCGACCATTCTCATTTGTCTTCGTCTGAGTTTGAGTTTCTTAGGCACCACCGGCTCTGCCAACACGTGGGCCATCTCTGCCTTCTCCACACGAGCCAGCTCCTGCTGCCAACGACCTGCATTGAATTGCAGTGCAACACGACCAACCAAGAGCACCAACAACACGAGCACGGAGAGTGACATCCAAGAAGACTTGTTTCTGTAGCGAGTGCCTACCAGTCTCTGGGAGTTTGACTTCGTCTTCGATGCTCTTCCGGGGCGTCATGTCGTCCTTGAGAGACTTCGTGGACGACGACTGCCTGCGCCGAAACCTACACACATGCATTCCTATCATGTCTCCTGGTCTGTCTGTTGCCGTGTCGTGTCTCCCGTGACCGACGGGTGTACTCACCTTGGCACGGGTGGTCTTCTCGGCATATTGGGGTCGTGGATCTTCCACCGCACAAGACGCTCAGGATCTGAATGGTGATACACGTACATATGGACATGTATGCATCACACATACAATTGCTTGCCCCCTCCTCTCTCTGTCTCTGTCTTTCCTCACTCACTCCTCAACCACCTACCCACCTACCCGGTTTGGCCACTCGAATGAGGTGCGAGTACTTGGCCAGCTTCTGATGATGATCATCCTCAGTCACAGCGCTCCTATAGGTCGTCATGACCGAGTCCTCCTCCGGCATCTGCGTGATGAATGGCCCGCTGCTGGACCTCCTCTCGTCCTGAGACCCTCGCTCCTGCGACCCTCGCGGCGACTCGCCCTGAGCACCCTGAGCACCCTCAATGGCCGGCAGGGGCACCAGTGTTGCAGTGGATGCCTGCTTGGCGGGGGGAAGGGGCGGCTGTTGCTGCTGCTGAATGCTCGTCTGGGAAGCAAGGCGCAGAGGGGGCAGCTCCACGTGAGGAGACAACTCCTGGGTTGTCATCACTGTGGCAAAACAGACGAGAGAATCACAAAGGAATGAACAGCTGTGTGTCGCCCGACACATGCGTGTGACGACAGCCGGCATTTCGCCCACCAGATCTGGTTCTGGTTCTCTGGGTGGTAAGGGGGAGAGGGCGTTTGCGGCTCGCCCGGTCGGTGCTGGAGCCCACCGTCTGGAGGAACCGCTCGTACTGCGCCACGTGCTTCTCGTGCAGCTTCTGTAGACACTTTTTGTAGTAGGTGTGGGGCGCTGGGAGGGGATTCCGGGCAAACTCATCCGCCAGCTGGACAAAACACAGACAAGGGATAGACAGACGGGCGGACAGATGTGGTGGCGAAGAAAGAGCGGCCACGATTGTACCTACCTCGAGGATCTTCTGTTTTCGTCTCTCCCTCTTGGCTTCAAGAGCTGCTATCAGTCGGTCCCTCTCCACCTTCTTCTGCTTCAACTCAGTCATTCTGCACACGCACACAAAGAAAAACAGGCATCCCATTGCTATGGGCATTGGTGCCCCTCTGCAACATGACTCAGTCACTGACCTCATGGCCTGCATCTCGCGGTCCCTTCTGGGCTCATGCTCGGCAATCTGAGCATCCAACGCCTGCGGACAAGAGACAGACATCAACATAACGACACGAATGCAAGTCCCTCCCTCCTTCCCTCCCTCCCTCCACGTCACCTGGACCATCTTAGCGAATCCCACATCAGGTGGGGAAGAGGGCCGGGACACTCCCTGCCCCCCCCCGCCCGGCCCCTCTACGCGCGAGGTCGAGCGAGTGCCATGGTCCCTCAGAGTGCGGGGCGGCGCCTTCCGCAGCACGGCCCCCTCCGGCGGCTGACCAGGGTTGGACGCGACGGCGCTCTCGAACTGCTGATACGACTCGGCAAAGTCAGGAGCGAAATACTGTTGACACACAGTATGGAGGCAGGCAGGCAGGCAGGCGTGTTTGTGGGGCCCTGGTGTTTGTGAAGTGCTGTGAGCTGATGTGGTTACCTTGGCGAAGCCCCGCCATGACTTTGACTCCTTTGTCGTCATGATTGCTCCTCTTGAGACGGGAAGTCCATGCGAGCTTCAGCTTGCGAGGAGGGCGCTGAGGATTTCATCCATGCGTCTGACCAGAACACCTAGCTGCGTGATTGTGGTGGTACAAATGGCACCGCAGACGTCTCAGGAGTCTGAGTTGGTCATCCTCGACACTGATCGCCTTTGCGATCTCAGGCGATTCTTCTGTTTGGTTTGATGGAGCACACTTCCACTAACTTAAAGGCAGGCAGAGAAGAACATGATGTCATCGATCGCACCCCACTTGCTGGAGCTCCTGCGTCAGCCATTCAACGACAAATGTTCCAATTGGCCAATCACGCAGCAGTAAGAGTCAGAGGCAGTCAATAGTAAGTCGCACGAGGAGTCAATTAGCTGAGACTCAGCACTGCACAGGGCCAGCAAACCTCATTCGCTGGCCCCATGTCGCCCCATTTCTCTATCCATCCACGAACGCTCACACATACAGGTAGTGTTGGATCGCTGCCTCCTAATTCTGCCTACCTATCTCCAACCATCATGAAGGACACGCACCACACTACACCGCACCACACCGCACCGCACCGCACCCACTGGAAGGGAACTGCACTGAAACGCACGCCGGACAGACCGTATGAATGGGCTATGAAGAATAGAGACCAGTCAGTCAGTCAGTCAGCCAGTCAGTCACGCAAGCACGCACGCAGGACGGCAGAAAGGTGCCTGCGTATCCTGCATAGTGGGTGCTCTTTCTCCTAATACACAGGCAGGCAGGCAGGCAGGCAGACAATTTACCTTCAACTCGTGCTGTGGGCACGCGCAGAGAGACACAAGCCGGAGAGAGAGAAGTGCGCATCATCCATCCATTCATTCACATGCAGGCAGCCGATATATAGGTAGATCACAGGAGGGCACGAAGGAAGGGCTTGAAATGTCGCTCAGGTCGGACTGACTAGCAAATCCCACCCCACACATAATAAGGCAGCAAAACTGGCGAGAGAGGCAGGCAGGCCGGGCTCACGCAACCAAAAAGAGGCAGGGAGAAAAAGGAAAGCAACTCGCATAGACGAAAGACATCCAAACACCAAACACAACACAGAAGGGATGGAGCGCCGCGCAAAGGGAGGGAACGAAAACACATACCCGCCCGACCGCACATACACAGACGCCCCTGCACACCCGCTGCACACTCTTGATGCCGAAAAATAGCAGAACAGTACCCTCTTTGCCCAGCACACACCTATGGATTAACGCACACGCACATAGAGGAGATCCGAAAAATAGAGCCCAGTAGTGAGAGTAAGGAGGCACCATCGGAAGAAAGAGACAATACCCTCACCCACAGTCATATATCTTAATAAACACCGCATTATCACTTTTGTCACTTTTTCCCTTGATGGGCGCATCTGAAAAGACGTGCAAACCTCATCATGCTCACTCACCCACCGCACTGTCGCACGCCCCACTTACATCCATCCATCCAGCAAGCTTTCAACGCAGTCCGCTGGATGGATGCATGTCCGTCAAAACGCATGATCCGCCCTTGCCCCCGCCCCCTGCCCGCCTGCCCAGCAGCCTGCCTCTCTCGAAGGAGACACCCCAACGCGAATACAGCAGCGCCCGGACACCCCAATACACTTGGTGAATCGCACCCGGACGCCCACACAAAGATAGGAGAAACGGCATCATGAACGAAGAAGCGAGGTACCAGATAGCCAGATATTCACGCATGTACGTATGAATGTACATTTGTAAGTCAACTAGCGCAGCAAAAAGAGCCTCCCTCTGCGTGCCCCCTTGTGTACACGAATGCATACCACGCATGCATCCCTCCCTCCCTCCCTCCCTCATCCATCCATCCATCCATCTATCCATCACTCCTCATATCCCGACGGCTGTGCCTCATAAAGCACATCAGCCGGCACCCGATCCATCGCAGCAGCCAGTGGGGAAGGCGGCACGGGCATCCGCCGCTCCGCAGGCCCAGACGACGCCGATGCCGTACTCTTGGGCCGGGACTTTGCCTTGCCCCTCTCCTGCTCCTCGCTCCTGCTCCTGGCTGGCACAGGGGCCCCGGCTCGGGTGCCCTCGGACGATGACAGCTGCCGCGTCGAGAGGGCCGTGTACTCGCCGATCGATGGCGTGGCGTTCATCGTTGCCGCTGACGTGACCCGACGACCAGCCGGGATGGGATGGACAGGCTCGGTGCTGGCCGGTGCAGCTCTGGCGGGCGGCCATGGGCAGTGCCCCCCTCCGCCCCTCTCAGCCAGATACGGGTCGACGTCTGCCTCCCTCTGTGACGGAAAATGGTTCCTGGGAGGCCGCTTGGACTGCCTGTGCATTGGGAAGGGGGGAAGGAGCGGCGGCGCATGAGGCTGAGAAGTCGGGTAGGGGGGCGAGGGCCGCTCGGGCGAGCCAGACTGCGACGAGAATGACCGGTCGTAGAACGGCCGATCTGGAACTAGAGGACAGGGGCCATAGCCGAGTAATGGCGGAGAGCCACACGCGAAGGGAACTGTGGGGGCGGGAGGGGGGTGGAGAGGGTAGTAGGACGAGTACGGCGGAGGGTTGGGCACGCGAGCGTCGTACATGACAGGACACGGCCCCATCAAAGACATGGGAGAGTTGGCAGCAGAGAGCGGTGCCCGTGTCCAGGGGTACGGGGGAATGCTCGGAGCCGGCAGCATCTGCCCAAATGACACAGATGGACCCAGGTCCCTCTCGAGAGCCGAGAGTGCCGGTGGGAAGATGGGGGAGAGCAGCTGGGGCGACGGGGGCGGCAGGGAGGCGCTCACGGCCCTAGAGGTGGGGTAGACAGTGCCGCCCGTCATGGGGAGTGGCGGCTGCGACTTCTCCTGCAGCAGCTGCTCGACGCTCTTGCCCTCCTGCCGGGCACGCTTCTCCAGCTCAGTCCGGCGATATCTGTGGACAATGAATGAACCAGACCCAGACAGATCGACACATGCCCGGCGACCGACGCGAGAGCCACCTGTGCGTTCACGTGCGCTAGCTCACCTTCTTGTCCGCAGGTCTGCGTCGCCGTGTGCGTGCCGGCATCTGTCGCCCTCTGGACAGTAGCCGGCCTTCCAGTACTTGCAAATGGACGTCCTGAAGAGAGAGGAGAGGGCAGGCAGGGAAACTTGTTGTTGTGTGTGTTTGGGTGCGTCTGAGTGAGTGAGTGACTTGCTTGAAGTAGTCGTCGGTGGCTCGCAGCTCTTGCTCTCCGTGCGCAAACCTGATTGGCGGACAACACAGCAGAGGGAAATGGGAAACGAGCCCTGCATATCTCCCTCTCGTGCCCACTCACTTGCAGTGTGCAGAGTCCCGAGGACACATACCCTTGAGAAACGCGGTACACAGCCGCGTCCTGGAGCAAAATCGCAAGCAGAGAGAGCGACGGTGGATCAACCAGCGACAGCGAGCTGCGCTTCCTAGTCTGACTCACTTCTGCAGGTTGGGCGGTGGGCGGAGCTCTCTAGCGTCGTGGGCGAAGAAGCACCGCTCGCCCCGATAGCAGTCGCCCTTCGCGAAGAAGGGACACATCTTGGTCTTGTAGAACTGAACGAACGCAAACGAACAGAACACACAAGGACACATACACATCCAGCACACACACTCATTCATTCACTCAGTGATTGCTGTCGTACGTACCTGGTCCACGACCACACCATCATCTCTCTCATTGAGAGTGATAGATGACGCAGCCACAGGAACCGCCCCGGCACTCATCAGCACCATTCAATCCACCTCAGCCAGCCATCCACAACACACCCCACACACCCGCCAGTGGAACTCACTCACTCGCCCGACAAATACTCACGGAAGTAAGGACGACAATTAGGTAGGCATAGGCAGACAGACAGACAGACCCTCAGAAACGCACTCACTGACGCAACCAGGCAAGCAAATACTCGCACACGGCAGACACTCACTCACTCACTGACAGACAACCGGATCAAAACACAGATGGATGAATCAAATCACGTGGCTCATACGGCAGGCGCTCAGTCTCTCTGTCAGCGCAGTGCCGAGGCGGGGGATGAGAGGGAGAGCAGCTCAGGAGAGAGAGAGACTGACCAACCACTTGAAAGCAAGAGCACTTTGAAACGCGCCTCACAAATCGACTCCGCCGGTATTTGGCGACTCGGTTGCTGCGTTTGAGACTGTTCAGGTCAGCTCTTTTGCTTCCGCTGTTGGCCCAACTTCTGCGAGCTCAACCCTCCTTGTGATGCGAGCTCACGATCTTGAAGACAAGAAGAAAAACGACGCGCAAGAGGACGGTGGAGCCTGCCTGCAGAGCGTGCTTGATGAGCTTGGAAGGATGGTGTGTGCACCGATGATGACGCTTGAGTGATGGGTCTTCCTGGACTTGCCGTTCACGAGGCACGGTGCCTCTTTCGCGAGATCGTTCGCCTCCATCAGACCAAACTGCCCGAGAAGATGGTCAGTCAGATGCACCACACCGCCGCACTCATCAACTACTCCCTCATCAGAAGACACCCGAACTGCCACGTGGCTGTCTGTCTTCTGTGTGTGAATGTGCTCATCAGAGGGGCCTGGGCGATGCCTTCCTGAAGCGTGAGTTTCGGCAGCATCTGTTCGGCGGCACGTGCACGCCCAGACAGTTCGAGATGTTCATGGCACACTGGCGCAAGTACGGGGCCACCATACGCCGGCAGGAGAACGTCATCGGCAAGAAAATGATGAAAACAGAACGGGAAAAACTCAGCGAAGAACAAAGGTGGGCACCTGGCCAAACAAACAAACAAACAAACAAACAAACACACAGGCAGGCAGGCAAAACGGCGGGAAAGGCAGACCCTCACTGTGTGTTGTGTGTGTGGTCACAGGCGGCAGTACGACAAGCTGAGGCGAGCTGTTGCACGCGAAGCGGCAGAGAAGGAAACATAGTGACTGACGGGATGGATGGATGGATGGATGGACTGATGCTTTTCTATTGTCGAGGAAGTGAGATGGATGCCTGGAGTGAGCGGTGGGGCCGTGTACAGAGAGGGATGGAAGGCCAAACTGACCGGTGTGCAGCAGATCTATCATCTTGTGCCTTGCGTATCCATGTATGTAATTCGGTTTATGAACGGACAAGTGACCAATGTGGTCGTGTGAACTGAATGGTCATGTGTACAGATATGGTCCGTGTGCCACGTCAAACCATGCGCCAGGCTACTGATAGAATTCTGCTCTGGTTTGCTGGTTGATGCGGTGGTTGAGGTCTCGTATCTTTTCTATAACGATATCGAGACTCTGCGCCTGCGATAGGTACTCCAAACACTCCTGTTGCAGACATCCGCAGACGACACAGGGCACGCACATTCACCAATGTGTGTGTGTGCCCTCTGTTTATGATATACCTTGATGTTTGCGGCGTTCATCTCCACACAATTCTCCTTGTACGTCGCCAAAGTCTGCATCCATCCATCCATCCATCCATAACATCTACACCGCTTGAAAATGTCTCTCCCGCCTGCTGTCCACCCCACCTGCAGCAGGTATAGTCCGTTAAGTGTGAAGTCCGAGCTGGTGGTCTCCCTGAGGTCGGCGATGAGGGTTTTGATGACGAACTTGCCCACGCGCTGCTTCGTCTGCCAGTCGTTGGTGCACAACTGACGCAACGCAAACAACACCTGCAACGAAGCGGCAACAGCAACACAAAGAGTTCGTTCCGTGTTTATGCTTGTGCCGGTGATAATGCGTTGACCGACCTTTCCCTTGAGTGGCGCGCTAGGTTTGCTGTTCTGGAACATGTACAGGAGACACTCTATCGTCGGATACCTATGCGCATGCATGAGACAGACAGCAAGTGCATCTCGACCAGTCGATCAGCTCATGTCACTTGACTTTGGCAGGCCTACCCCCGCTTGCTGAGAAGCACCCTGGAACTCTCGTCGTTCCCCAGCTGACTGCACGCATGAAGCGTAAGGACCCATTGGACAGACTGTACGTGTGTCTCTATGTCTGACGCCATCCATCGTAGGTACCCTATGAGTGAGGACAGATGCGTGAGGGTCTTGTGCTTGTGCATCTGGTTGTACGTCGACTGCAGTCATTGCACGCACACACACAGCAGCAGCAGTGAATGCCCCTGGCTGCACATTGATTGCACAGCCAGCCCTCTTCCTCACTGTCAGTATGTCGATGGTGATCGGGATCAAACCTGATGAGGCACAGACATACACACATCACATATGCACACGCATATCCAACGCATGTAGAGGGTCTGTGTCTGTGTACCAGCCGCGCAGCAGGCCGCCCTGTGGTGCACGCTTTTGGTCAGGTTGACCAGCAACGTCAGCGTGTACTGGATCAAATCATCCTCCTACCAAGCAACACACAGACATACGTGTAAGTGTATCTATGAGTGTAGTCATCGCCGGACGGACCTTCGATCGCAGGTTTTCGACACAGCTCTGAGCAGCCCCAGACGATATGAGGACATTCTGCGGACAACGGAGAGAGGAGTAAAGTCACGGACGCACGTGTTTGCTCTGCGTGTCAGTCACCTTGATGGCGTCGTTGGCGGCGCTCAAATTGGTGAGGGCCGCCGTGGCATAGGTGGCCAGGAGGGGCGTGGCGGTGCGCATCAGCCCCACGAGGGCAGGCGTGATCACGCTCAGATACTCCTACACAAAAGTGGCCACAATCGCTCACACCAGGCTCTGTGAGGGATTTGCCTGCCCACCTGCGACACGTTTTGTTGCGATTGATGCAGCACCTGTCGGCAGATGGCTGCCTTGAGGCTGGACGAGCAGGGCGAGTTGAGCAACACGGCAAGCAGATTGGCGTACCCACCGTCAGCACTGACACACATCACCCACACACCAGCGTCATGGGATGTATTGCATTCCATCTCCCCTTTGTGTGTAGTGAGAGTGCTCACGAGCTCTTGTGGAAGAGCTTCTGCACGTACTGCGACTCCAACATGACCTGCATGGTCGACACAGCCACGGGTGTACTTGTGGCGTTGTCTGATCGACAATAGATGGCCGCTGACCGTGAGGACGCTGTCGTTGAAGCAGTAGTCGGTGCCGAATGTGGCCTCCTTGACGGCCTTGACCAGCGATGTGCTGTAGAAGGGCTTCAGCATGTCGCGTGGACGCAGGTGTAGCAGGAAATCCAACACCTGACGCAGTTTCTGCACTCAATACAGCACAGAACACAGCCCTCCTTGTATTTGCGTGTCTCTGCATGTGATGGGTCTCTGTCTGTCTGTCTGTCTGTCTCACTGTCTGTCTCACTTTGTCCGCTTCCGTGCCCACTGCTCCGACCGAGTCGCAGACATCAGCTAACGAGAACTTGCCGCCTGGAAAAGTGAGCACAAGGTTAGCTTGTGTGTGCGTGTATGTGTGTGCGTGTATGTGTATGCACCTAGAAGGCCGCCATCGACTGCATATGCGAGGTATCTGGCTACGCGCATGACCCACTCGTTGCGATAGATCTCCATGTCCTCCGTCTCGTCATGAGGATCCAAACCTACACACATCACACACAACACACACAACACACACACACACACGAGACAGACACTCATGCCTGCCGCCCCCACCCATTTGCCCACCGAGCTCCTCGCCGCTTCTGACGATGTCGTCCTTGACCACCAGCGGATCTGACACCACCGGAACGCCATCCAAATCAACCGTCAACAACTCTGACACACAGAGGCAAAGGAAGGTAGAAAAGCCGAGTGCTGCACACGTGCGTCGATTGATGGCTGCTTTGCTACCTGGTGTGGTGAGCACGTTTTCGTTCTCCATGATCTTGAGGATGGATTTGAGGAACACCCTGGCCTTGTCCGCTACTGACGGCTGCACTCAGCCGACCGGTCAAACACACAGAATGCTGATGGAATGCATTGATGCGATGCATTTCGTTGCTGTGTGTCACCCACCTGCAGTTTGAGCCGTGTGCTGAGCCACTGGAAGCCCTCCTCGTTGAAGCTGAACACACACAAACACGCATGACAGGTGTGAACGAATGACGTCTGTTACGACTCACAGAAGGGCATTCAGCTTCGCTTCGACCATGTCACGATACCTGAGGAAAGAATGAATACACATGATGTTGTATCGGCACGTGGGTGGGTATGTGGATATGATACCCACCAGACGTGTTCCTGGGTGAGCGTCGCAAACAAGTCTGCGGCCAGCCGGCACTCGTTGACCAGATCCTCGTCCTGCACAAACCCATCTGACACACCGACCGAGATAGCATCCACAGCCCATCGATGAATGAATGAATGAATGGATGAATGTAGTGCGTGGCTGCCCACCTCTGATGTTCGAGTTGTCTACGCGGAAGACGATAGCGAAGTCCTGGGCCGTGTCCATTAGCGGAGGAATGTCTGATGGGGACAGATACACGGAATCACGGGCAAAGGGGTGCACATGTGAGTGGGTGCGTGATGCACCGTACGTTGCCTCCTGAGCAAGACGCAAAAGATGGACACGTCATTGTGCGGCTCGCGGCACTGCAGAAACAACTGACGAACGAATTGACGGACGGACGCACAGACAGAGGAGGGACACACAGGGAAAGGAGACATTCTCGACCAAAGGAGGGATAAATGCGTGGCGAGTGGCTTGCTGTCTGCCTGCGTGCATACCTCCCAGCCCATCCAGGTGGAGATGTCGTCCGCCAGGTTCATCTTCTTGTAGTAGGCGTTGTTCTTGACCACAAAGAAATGCTTCATGTTCTCCTGTCAAGGGCACACACATACACACACAGGCAGATAGCCATGTTGCCCTTTCCTTCCTTGCTCCCCTCTCCGTACCGACCGTACCGTGAGTGCCTGTTTGTACTCCATGGCCACCCACCGGATGTGGTCGCGCTGAATCTGACGATACACACAGACAGACAGACAGGCAGCAACAAGGAGGATGTCGGTTGATGTGACTGGGGTGGTTGCTTACCTCCTCCAGATGGTACAGCGGGAGAGGGTCGTGCACGTGCAGCGACACGTAGATGCCTGACAAACACGCAGACAACTAGCATCCACCCTTCCTTCCTTCTGTGTGTGGCAAGCTTACTGACCCCTCTCTGAGTCTAGGTACATGCCCGTGTCCTTCGCTGACACCGCATTGGCGCGATCTGCAACACGGCACCAAGCGACGTGCGCAGGTGTATGTCCCATCTATAAGGACCACCGGCTGACCCATGAAGGATTGCTTGAGGAAGAGGCTGTAGCCCTCGTACCGGACCTCCTTGTACCTGTGCGTGAACGAGCGAACGAACGATGCCAGGATGAATGAATGGGCATCAGGTGTGGGCACGGCCATCTATCTGTTCCGACCGACCCTTCGAATGGTTTGACTCTGGGCAGCTCCTGCTGGCGGCCCTCCTCCATCAAAGGATGCTTGAACCGGGGAAACACACACACCTGCAGGCACAACATACATAGCACAGCACGGGTGTGTGTGAAGCCATCTCCTTGTGTGTGCCGCTGGCTGTCGTACCTTTCCGAATCTGAACATGTAGTCGGTTTGCCATGCGACCATGATGAAGTCGACGAGGGCCTCGCGATTCAAACTACTCACAAACAGCTTCTCGCTCTGCCACTCAGGCGGCTGACACACACCACACAGAGAGAGAAAAGAGAAGCCATTCCCGCCATCCATCCATCCAGCTCCCCTTCCGTCCCTCCCTTTCTCACCCTGTCCTTTGAGAGTATGAGTAGGAACTCCGTGCTGTTGGTGTCCTCAACCAGCTTCTCTACGTGGGCGAAGAACAGCTGCCCGCCACGGATCAACTTGGACATGTTGCGCTGGAGGAAAAACACCGCTGACAGACAGACAGACAGAGAGAAAAAGGATCCATCTGTCCACCCATCGCACAAAGCAAGCCATACACATCGATGGATGCACCATCTGCCAACGCCCATCCGTCTGTCGGAGAGCTACCGTGTTTGCCGACGCACATGTAGACTTTTTTGCTCCTTCCCATGAATTTGAGGGTGACGAGGTCGAAGTACCGCAGCTCCGACTTGGTCTTGAGCGCCAAAGGCGCCAATATCGCCAGATCTGTCATGATTGTAGGACCACTTGACGAGCTAAGCTCGCATCAACGTGTTTACAAGACAATCAGTTGTTCCCTGAGTTAAAAGGCTTTTAGCACCATGCAGCAATGCCCTCCATGCGCATGGTTGCACTGACAGTTGTGTTGTTCATTGGCTACATCTGCTTAGGCAGTGCATTCGTCTTCCCTCGCTGGCTGCAGCGCCGAAACGCACACAATAGACGAAGATCCCACCATCCCACCCTCCCCTACTCCTCTCTCTCTAGCCATGGGAATGGGCACTTGCCCAATGACAGGGAGAAGAACGGCGACAATGGCCAGCACGGCAGTCGACCAGCAGCGGGGGATGGCGCGGGTCCCGTGTATGACGCGCCTCTTCGCAGTGAGCGGCTCGTGAGGCGTGTCGGGCAGTTCCTATACAAACACAAAGGTCAGCACACAAAAGCATGGTTTTCCTGTTTGCTCGATGAGTGCTTGTTTTCCTGTCAGTCCCGTTTCGCTCATACCACTCTTCGTCTTCTCATGGCTTTGTTGGCCACCGTGCGCCACCCTCCCCTCCTCTCACCGAAGACACCGTCCCCGAGCCGCCGCCCTCTTTTCCCCCACCCAACCACACATTTGAGTCGGCAAGCCCACAGGCCATCGAATCGTCGATGCCCGACGGTTCGTCAGACTCGGCCATGTGGGTTGTGCCGGCCATCCCTCTCAACTGGCCACACCAACACAACGAAGGGAGTAATGAGCAGCCGGGACCGTCTGATGGGATGGCCGGGGATGGAGTCAGATGTGATGAGCTGAACGGCGCCAGCTGTCTTCGGCATAAGGGGTGTGCGCTTGTGGGCGATGCGTGCCTCGACTGGCAGGCGGTCAACATCACTTCATGCGACGACGTGACCCGCCTCAGCCGACACACACTCAAGTGCAACCCTTCGTCCACAACCTCATCCCCACGGGGGCTTCCAGAAGTCAATGAGACAGCAGCACGCCGGCCGTCAGCACCCCCACCACCAGCAGATGGCGACGTGCAGCACTCTCATGCTGCCAATGAGAGTGGTGCAGCGGCCGAGGAGAGTGATGTGGATGCCTTAGAGGCGGAGGAAATTGAAGAGGATACCGACAAACCTGGTCAGTCGTAAGTACTGACGGGAAAAGACAATCGCTGACGGATGTTTGTTGTGTCCGTCTTTGGTCAGACTACTGTGCAGTGATGTCATCCCTGCAGCCAGTGGCCTCCACCATTGACAGTGACCACTTCATGGGCCTCGGCGAGCACTTCACAGACATACAGGGATGCTACAAACCCATATTCTCACTACCAGTACGCTCACACACACGCAGGGAATGCCATGGTGACATCACATGCAAGGATACCGCCTCTCGGTTCCCCCCTAGGTTGGCATCTTACCTTCCAACGCAGGCGGCATTCTTCGTGTTGTGGCCGTCATCCGCACACGCGTCGAGTCCCCCACCCCAGCCGTCCAGACAGCCATCCGACTGCTCAACAAAGCCAACCCCCTGTTCCTCGTCCAAGAGGCCACTAGCAGACGCCAACAGCATCAGCAAGCACCCTCACGCCTTCATCTGGCCCTTCACGTGGGCACTGCTGATGGCGGCGTGGCATATGGGGTGGAGCTGCCGTCTGCGGGAGAGGAGATGGTTGGGGACGTGCGGTTCATGGCTGGGGAGGGGTCTGTGGAGAGCGATGTGCCGATAGAGGTGACAGAAATGGTGGAGGAGACATATAAACAGAAGGGCGACCTTGACAGCAAGGGAAAGCCCTGGCGAACAGCATTCATGGTACGCACCATGCACATTGTGCACCGTACAAAGGATGATCTTTTCCCAATTGCTTTTCCCATTTGCCTATGCCCCCCACACACACAGTTATCTCCCGCCGACGGCCAGGTCCGTGTCTCTCTGCGGAGGGGCTTTGGAGGCTACGCACATACCTTTGCATTAAAGAAGGGAGCGCTCAAAGGCCCAGCATCCGTCCGGCTGATCGGCATCTCAGGGGCAAAGCCAGGTGACATCGGCACATCACGTCACGGACATGCATGATCATGCTCTCTTTCAGTAAGTGGCGTGACTGTCGAGTCGCTTGACGCTGAGGTGTCTCCGTGTCTCAAGCCTCTCCCCACCCAAGCCCCTTCACCGCCCCCTCTCCCCCCACCAGATACAGACATGGAGCCCAATTTCGACGCCGTCGACCGCGACAGCAGAGGCGACGGAGAGGAGCCCACAGATCCAGAGGCCGACAAAGAAATCCCTACTGAGGAAGAAGGTAAAAGGCGAGTTTGTCCATGGCAGTATTTTCATTCTGTGTATGTGTGTGTGTGTGTGTGCGTGTCTAACCTCTGTATGCAGATTGCGTCCATTGCGGTCAGCTGATGGCCTGCATCGATGGGTGCGAGGGCGGGCCGACAGCCAAGAGCCCCGTGTGCCTCCAGCGGTGCTATGACGAATTTCTCGAGGACGAGGGGCTGCACACATATGACTACGGCTGGAAGATGGAGCTCGACACGACGCCACAACCACTCGCCGAGACCACCACCACTGCACAGCCGACACCTGCAGCTACGACGGCCCTCCCGCCGCAGCAGCCGGGGGCTCCTGTGGCCCCCGTGGCACCACCACCACCACCACCGGCGCCCGTGCCAGGAGCAGCTAACCCTCCCGTGCATCCAGCACCAGCCGCCCCAGTCAACCCAGTGCCGCCTGCTGCTCAGCCAGTCGAAGATACCAACGTGACCCAGCCATTGGCGCCCACACCTCCATCTCCAAGCCCCGTGGCGCCCGTGCTCCCGCCCCCACCTCTGCCACTTCAGCCGTCCAATGCGGCGGGCAATGAACCGCCAGTCGCTGCCCCTCCAGTGCCCCTCACACCCCCACAGCCTGTTCTGCCCCCAGCCAACACTACCCCTCCCTCTCCCCTCCCGCCGATCGCCCCTGTGGCCCCTGCTGTGTCGAAGACACCACAAGGACCAACATATGAGGAGGGCACGTCAGTCCCTCCGGCGTCGAGCGAGGTGCCTCCTGGTGGGGGATCGACGACAGGGGTGATAGAGGGTGAGCTCGTGACCACCACGACCACCCCTGCACCCACTACACCGCCGCCTGAAGAGGTGTCTCCCGTGACGATACCTCCGCAGCTGGAGCAGCAGATGGAAGAACTCGACAGAGGTACGTTGGCAGAGACAGGGATGGGGAAAGTATATGCCACGGCGTGTCTCCTTGCAGCCAACGAGTCGGTGGCAGACAGGATGGAGGAAGAGAAAGAGGAGCTGAAGGAGGAAGGTAAAGGCAAAAGACACTAGAAATCACCAGGAGCCGCACAACCATCCTCGGTGTGTGTGTGTGTGTCCGTTGTTCATGCAGCAGAGAAGGCACTGGATGAGGCGGAGAGAGCGGTGCAGGGCACCACAACGACAGTCGTGCCCATCGCGGCTGATATCGAGTCGGCCAGCCCCTCACCATATATGACGAGTGATATCATGACGACTTTCGGTCCAGCCAACACAGAGGGACCATCCTGACTAGTGACATGTACATGAATGGCACTGTGTGCATATGACAATGACAATGACAATGACAATGACTTGGTGACACTGAAGGCGCATGTCATCGCATCGACAGCGGATTATTATGGGAAGGATTCACATACAGGCGATTCATTCATTCACGTAGGCGTATTGTCCCGAAGAGTCGAAGACGCTGCCACGCAAACAGCCACAAACAGCCACACACAGCCACACACACACGCACACACACACACACACGAGACACCAACCTGCCGACACTGCTGCCGCTTTGCTGACATCTGCGTGTCCGTATTGGTCCTTTACTGAGCTATCGTCTCAGTAAACACTCACTCAGTCAATACACCCCACAACGAGAGAGAAACAGACGGGCGGCCAGACAGACAGAGACCCATCAGGCACAACACGTGTGTGTGCACGTATGTATGTATGTGTGCGAATGTGCGTGTTTATTTCGTGGTGGATGGACCATGGTGTGGATGCCCTGTGGACCCAATCGACGCGTGTTTTTGCGTTCTGTGTTCTTTCTTACCGGCAGTGACAATGCACGTGAGTCAGGGTGAAATCGGCAAGCCACCATGCATACGTGCGGGAGTCACTATGCACAGTACCACACATGCATACACACAGCCCTCGACCAGTCATGACCCACTTAAGGCAGCCTGTACATCCATCCCTCCCTCCCTCCCTCCCTCCCTCCTAATGCCGTGGCAGCGTCGCGTCTATACCGCTCTCCCAAAGGCGATGGCCTCCATCAAAGGCATTATCACTACAGGTACCTACCTACATCCACACACATGGATGCAGCCGGCGGCCAAGCTGACATGTGTTCGTTTCGGTGCGGTGTGAACACACAGAGGGTGGACGTAGATGAGGCCATCTCTGTCTGCAGTGTGACCCTCCCTCCATCGCACCCGCATGGGGAGAGCGTCGCGATGCCAATACGCATACGCGTCGTCTGCACAGCGCAACGAGGCCACATACCCATTGTTGTATGGCGGGATCTCCCGTATCGCACGCACCTCTTGATGGGCATCCTCGCCGTCACAGCGACTCTAGATACTTGCGCAACCACGTGACCTCGAAATCCACACATATCTCTCTATGGCTGAGAGGACCCTGAGGCTCGGCCCAGGGCTCCACGGCCATGCTCACCCCTACGGCACGCGCCTGTGGTTGGTGAAAACACCACAATGGATGCAACAGTCAGTCGGCCTCGTTTGAGCCTCATCTCTCCTGTGCCAGCCGGCATGGCATCTGAACGAAACACCGCAATCCGATGAGAGTGTATCAGGGACGGATGAGATGAGGATGCATCTTCACCTCGACGAGGTGGATCTCATCTCGTCGATGCTCTCCGAAGCCATACCTTGAGCCATACGAGGGGGAGATCTGCATCCGTGCTCTTGCTGTCGAGACTGGGCCCCCTGCATGCAAAGAGGTGGCGGACGAGGGGCTACAGGAACTCTCTGAAGGCGTACAACAGCCACTGCAGACGTTCGCATTACTCTCGGTGAGCAGCCCGTGGCCCTAGTCGACCGAAGAAGAGAGGAGCTGGAGGCGCCTTTCGTGCATCATGGGATGTGTTGCTGTGTGTTGTGTGTCGCAGGTTGCATTGAATGGACCGTTCTTCGCGTCACTTTTGACGTGCGCGTCAAACGTCACCTGACGGGCGCGGCAAGTCAGAGGAAAGGTGACTCCTCAAGCAAGATGAAGGGAACGATGCACTGACTGTCGCTGTGCTCCTTTGAGTACTGTCTGCAGCCCGCTCGTATCTACCATCGTACCATCGTACCATCCTATCGTTCGTTCGGGAGCAAAGCAGCGAAGGTAACGACGCACACAGACACTGTCAGACATACAGTCAGTCAGACAGACAGACAGACAGACAGACAGACACAGACGCTGAATGAGGCCATCTGTGTTGGTGGATGCAGGTCTCGCTCGTCGGTCTGTTCGTTTGTTTGCTTCCCAAGGCTCTCACTCACTCACTCACTCATTCGGTCACACACACTCTCAGGTAGCTAACACACGCACTCTCAGACAGCGAGAAAGGTTGGTTATCGCTTCGCTGTTGCCGTCCTTGGTTGTTTGCAGTGATGACCGTTCTTTCTTCTCGACGGGTGGCAGTGGGGAGACGCGCACGGTACTCTACATCGGCACGCAGGCCTCGCCCGAGGGTGCCCTGGCCCAGCTGGAGATGTTCCGTGAGGCCGCACGAGTTGCCAGAGTGACGCACGCCATCGGCTTCATCGTCGAGGCGGCAATTGTGCACGACCCGCAATACGAGCCACTCATGAAGGCCATCTTCTCGACACCGGCCGGCGATCGGCGCTCAACCGTCATCTTCGTGGAGGGGGCCGATTTCACCCTGGGGGACAACCCGGTGGCCATCATCTTCCCCGCAGACTCCACCAACGCCGACATCCAGGCCACGCACACGGCCGTGCTCAGCTTCGGCAACACCGGGCTCCTGCAGGCGCTCATCTTCCACAACACGGTCAAGACCAAGATACAGCTGCAGGCGCTGGGCATCCACGGCCTGGACATCGGCGTGGCCGTGACGGACGTGGCCGCCATGCCGTACATGCAATCCAACCTGTCGCCCTGGGTGCGGCAGGCCGCCTCCAGCATCCCCGAGCAGGCCGACTTCCACTTCTTCTTCACGACCCGCTCGTGTGTGCCGGGCACCGGGGATCTTCCGGATGTCATGCAGGTGCAGGACATCAGTGTGGCGTGCCCTCACCAGGTGATGACGGCCATCCGCGCATTCGAGCGCACCTACAGCTACGGGTTCATGATCAACGGCATGAACGAGTAAGCAAGCCAACAGACCGGGAGACAGACGGGGGAGGCAGGCAAAGTCACCATGGTGACACATCTCTCTCTCTCTCTCTCTCTGTGTGTGTGTGTGTGTGTGTGTGTGTCTAGGCCGAACGACTGTGCAGCCGTCCTGTGCTTCTCGACCCCCACCAAGCAGCAGCCGTCGTTCATGGCCATCCCGATCGACGCACTGGCCAAGGGCCTCTTCACCAAGGACGCGCTGATACGCATGCTCCTGTGTATCACCATGAAGCAGTGGAGTCTGGAGGACGAGGACGGCACCGACACGCCCCTGATGGTCAAGAGATTCTACGGCAAGTTCCGCGCCAACGTCGAGCACCTCATGACGCAGATCGCAGCACTCAACTCGGCCCAAGAGGCCACGCTAGCGCTCAAACATGGACTGCAGCGCACTCTGGACGGTCAGCGGCTGCACATCGTGGCTGCATCCATCCATGTGTGCACGCCTGTCTGCCTGGTGTGTGCGTGGTGTGCTCTGCAGCGTTGGACCACATCACGGCCTACTCCAAGACCAAGACGGAGAGGGCCTGCATCTTCGCCAACCGCTACTACACGGATCTGGCTGCGGAGGCTGAGAGGAAGGGTCTCCGCGTCAAGAGTCTTGACTTCATCCCTGACGTCTTCCAGCCGGAGGCCAAGATGAAGGAGATCGGCTACGAAGCGGCTCTCCGGGCGCTCATGGACAAGTTCGACGTCACCGACTTCTCTAAGGTCGTATCGCAGGTGAGAAACGGGCAAAGGGCACACACACTCGTCCCTATGGAAGATGGTTGGTGTGTGTGTTGAGCTTCCCAGAGGCCCTCCCGCCCAGTTGAGCAAGATTACAGCAACTTCTTCAGCTTCACAATGCGTGACGCTACGGTAGAGTTCGACGAGTTCAAAATGGAAGGTACGATACACCCGCACGCACACACAACGAGTGCCCACACCCACGCATGCAGGATGAGTCCACTGTGCGTGCGATCGATAGGTCAGAGGGTCAGCGGCCGCGTGGTGATCGGCGTTGACGGCGTCATGGTCTTCGGCAAGGAGCCCCCCCCCGACTTGTCGCTCTTGGCCGACGAGAAGGAGCGCGATGACGCCATGGCCCGTTTCCGCGCCCGCCAAGCCTCTGAGCTCCAGAAGATCATGGAGATCCAGGAGCCCGAGAAGAAATGGCCAAACGTCAAGGACGAAGAGGGTGCGTGCCGGCACCACACAAGATGGCATACCGAGTCGGTCCAATGTGTACGTGTGTGGTGTGTGTGTGTGTATGTGTGAATCAGCCTTTGCTGCCTTTGCTGCGCTGTTGAGCAGCGGCCCCTACACGGATCTGCAGACGACCCTCCCCAGTGCCGGTCCCCCGGCCGAACACGATGACACTGCCGATGAGGATGACGTTCAGGGGATCTGACTGACTGACTCACTCACTCACTCACCGACCGACTGGTGTATATATGTGTTGTCTAGGTCTGTCCGCCCTTCTTTGCCTTTTGTTTCCTGTGTGACGCGTATGTGCGATGCCTGCCTGCCTGCCTGCCTGCGATGAGTGCATGCATATGTAGCTGTGGTGTATAGGTCTGTCTGTCTGTCTGTCTACCTATCTGGCTGTGGTATCCGCCTCGATTCGTGACCGCCACACCACACGCCCAATCTGCGTGCTTGGTCTTGTCTGCTGTGCGTTCGGTCTTCCCTTCTCGCATACCAGACAGAGACAGCCGCATCTCAACACCTTCTTTTGCCTCAGTCGCACATGCAGTGGCCCGTGAGCAACAACCAGCTTGCCTGCATGGGATGGAATGACACGGGTGAGGGATTTTACCGCATTCATCCTGTTGGCCAACCCGGTCTGCCGGCTGACATGCAGTGATAGACTGACTGGTGATATGCGGGCGTGGCGCTCTCTCCTCTCTGGTGCACATGCACTCCTCTCTCTCTCTGCATTGATGCCACCTTACCGCTGCGCATGTGTGATGGTTGTGGTTGATTTGTGGCAGCCAGCGAGCCAGACAGCGAATCTTGCTTCATGCATGTGGGCAGCTGGCATGTCATGGCTCGTCTGCGTGTCTGTCTGTCTGTCCGTCTGGCCGCGTGGACGTACGTGTGTATGCATGCAATTGGAATGGCCGCCCACCCATCTCGGTTTCATGCTCGCACATACGTATCAGCGCCGTGTATGATTGCAGAGAGGCCATCTTTTTTGAAGAACGGCGGTGTGTCTGACTGGTTGAATTCGAAAGGAGGCTGCCTGTACGATGGAGGTGTCGCATTGGGGGCGCAAAACGACAGAGCAGTCTACACGGGTGTCTACCTGCCTTAATCATGGTGTACTCGTGCAGCGCTCGATGGCCGACGCACTACACCTCGTGTATAGCCACACACTTAATTAATTCACACTGCGTGTATGGATCTGTGAACGACTCGCGTGTACGTCTTGAACTGAATCCATCCATCACATCACATCAGTGTATCCGAATGGTCCGTCCATCATGCAAGAAGGAAACGAGATATCAATACGCAAACAGACCACCACCAGCGTCTCAGTCCACTGCACATCGCGCGCCTGTGGATGGTCACCAGCTACCCTGAAGCTACCACACAGACAGCTGCAGTAGAGATGGCAACATGGACACAGTGGAGCTTGCTGCGTACGTACCTTCGGGCATGGATGGAATGGTGACACGGATGAAGGCTGGATGGTCCGGACGGAGAGAGGCGGGCAGCAGCGCGGTCTCCAGCAACTGCACCAGCCACTCGCGGACGCGGGTCGCCCCGCGTTTCAGCCGATATTGCGGGTCTGGATTGATCAGCTCGAAGAGGATCGTCTTGGCCGCCTCGCGCATGGACTGGTCCCTGATGAGGGTCTCGATGTCAGGCTCGGGAGGGTCGGTCTTCTTGGGCATGACCGCGATGCTGAAGTACTGGCGAAGCATCTCGACGTAGGCGGCAACCTTCTCGGGTCCGCCGTCAGTGCACAGCCGGACAGCCTCGAAGGACTGCTTCTCGGCCTCGAGTGCAGAGACGATCGTCTCAGGAATCGTCAGCTCCTCCGGCAGCCGCGCGATGCGACGAACGACTAGACCCCTGCCCACCAACGCCGCCGCCCCCTGCCCGCCAAACCAGCACCGTTCGCCCTCGTCGGGCACCACCTTGATCGTCTGGCCGATGGTGCCCTCTCTCTCGCTCTTGCGATACACGTGTATCAGGTACAGGTGTAGCAGATCGACGTCGATGTTCCACTTGACTAATGCCGAGCCATCGCGCCAGAGAGGCTTGCCCGTCAGAAAACTCAAGCTATACAGGGCTGACGACCAGTGATCAGACGCTTGATCAGGTCCGTCCATCCCAAGATCGTGCCGCACCAACTCCCGCAGACAGCTGTGGTGCTGAGGATCGTGCACAGAAGCGATGGGTTCCAGCTGCCGCAGGTACTCTCGTGCACGCTGATCCTCCACGAAAGACTCCCACTGGCCGTTCACACGCTTCACCTTCTCCATCAGCTTGGCGATGAATTGATGGTCCGGCGCCATTGAGTAGGCCCTGCCCTGAGGATCGAAGTTGGTCCTCTGCTGCATGCCGGTGCAGTCGATGCGTGTGAGGGATAAGACGAAGAGCTTGGTCTTATCATCTTCATCGTCCTCGCTGACTGCGTTGACCCAGCCTGTCGGCTCTGAGTCGGCGGCAGATGCGGAGGGGCCAGTGGGAGAGGGATCCGCGGGCTCTGGAGAGAATGGCGATGTCAGCTCCCTCCGAACCACCTGTCGGAGCTGGTTGCCGAGCCAGCCGCACAAACGGGCCACAAACGACTCACCGGGCTGAGCGACAAAGCCACGCATGTGTGGGACGCCCGCTGGCTGCGTGTCTTTCTTCCCTCTCTCTCTTACCGCATCTTCTCGGCCCGAATGAAGACAAGAATACTGGAAGGTGAAGGGAAAGCTGCAGGCCTGAATGGAAATGAGGATACTGGAAACGAACAGCAACATACGCGATTGAGTGAGGTGATATCGTGTGCTTTCTGTCCTGTTTGTTGTGTTGCTCACTTTGGGCCGTTGTCATCGGACGAATAATACAGCCCCAGGCGCTGTTTGAGCTTATCGTAGAGGTCCTCGATCCTCTGCCCGGGCCCAGTATGCTGATGCAGAAAGTCCCACAGGTCCTTCTCGGGCGGCACCCTCGCCGCATGCATGACCGCTGCCTTGTCCATGGCGTCGAGGACGCCGTAGATCTCAGCGAAGTCCCGCGCCTCCTTCGGCACGCCAAGCGCATCCATGCACTCCTCCACCTCGTGACGGCTGCTGGCATCCAGATGTCTGCCCGTCTCCTCTCTCAGCTGCTGCAGCTTGACGACTTGCTGCTGTGACAAAGTGCCGGGCAAGGCGGCATTGTGCGCATACTCGACGGCGGATGACGGGCCGTCAGGTAAGAACTTGACGCGCGATGATGCCAGTTGTCGGAAGAGTGGGTTGGGAGAAAAGCCGCCATCGGCCGTCGGTATGTCAATGCTGGCCGCTTGATGCATCCGGAAGGGTGCGTAGGGAGCGCCTCCATGACGGGCCGGCAGCTGAAAGACCTTGAAGTGGCGATCAGACGTCATCCTTCGGTCCTCTGCGCAGTCCCGACAGGCACCAAGGGCCAGCGCAAAGGCTCTGAAGGCACAGCAGCAGGGACGACCCACCAAAAGGAGTGCACACACCACGCGCCTTTGCATCGCGACTGACCTTCAATGAGCGATGCAGGATGCAGCGATGCCCGAATGCGATTCGTTCTTCCAAGGAGCGAGTGCAACTGAAGCAGGAACATGGTGTTCGTTTGTGACCCTCTTCGTCCTTCAGTACTGCTCTTTCCTGACCTGTGTATGCTAGATCTCGCAGACCATCTCGCCTGTGCCGCTACACCCGTACCCCCGCTTCGCCTGACGGAGAGAAAATTGAAGCAATCGAGAGAGACTGCGATCTTGCCTGGAGCCCCCTGGGGGCTCCGAGTCTCACCGCAAAATGATGTCAAATTCCGCCGCCGCAGCAGCTGGCGCCTCCCGCAAGTCGTTGGCCGCTCGTGCCTGCGCCTGGTTGAGTAGACGGTTTGCCCTCGCCCTCCAGGCGCAGGCCGAGCTCAAATGCGAGGAGGCCACGATGGATGTTGATGAGGAGACAGACTTCGTCTTCGTTGAGAACAGCAGGTGAGCCGAGAAAGGCCACAAATGAGGCGACAATACCTCGAGCTCTTGTTCGTATTCGTGTGGGTCTTCTTGTCTTCAGCAATCCTCGGTCCACCGGAACCCCGCCCGACTCGGCCCCTGTCTCCTCGCCGCCCTCCCCGCCCTCCCCATCCCCGCACTCTCCCTCCCCGCCCTCTCCCTGCCCCATCTCGCCGAGCCATCCATGCCCTCCCCCTGCCCTCACTCCGGCCGCCATCGGGCCGGCACTTGGGCGCCCCATCAGCACCAACATTGCCTGGGTGACTTTTCATGAGGCGGTGGTGCTGACTGACGCGGGGGAGCACAGGGAGGAGCTGGCTCTGAAAACGCCCCGACCCAACCCGGAGGCCGAGTACAGTGTGGCCCATGAAGGGTTTATGCTGCATAGCCAGATGATGGCCTGGCAGCACCACAAGGGGCTACAGGCAAGGCTGAAGGAGACGCTTGAGACGGAGGCGAGGTTGGAGAGGATGTGCCAGCGTGCGGCCCTTGGAGGGCACGACACTGAGGATGAGTGGTTTTTACTGATGTAAATTGTGAGCCGGTAAGAAAGAAATATGACAACCCAATTGTGACATCAGTGACGGCTGATGCTCTGAGACTGTCGTGGGCATTAGGGGATATGACGCGTGGCGATACATGTTCTACACGGTTGTGGCCAGGACAGCGCCTCTTGTGGGCCAGGGCAGCCTCGGTCTTCATGCGGCCATGGAGCTCCTCCGCACAAACGCCTTATTCCGCGTCATGAATGAGGATTTCTTTCATGCCGTCATGACGCGCCTCACCAGCGAGCTACGTAAGGCACTCAAGGCGGCTATCCGGTGGCCTTTCTGTTGCTGGCATGTGCGGACCTGGTGTTCAATCTGTCCAAGATGCTGGGCAAGGGAGCCAGTCTGAGGAAGAGGATGGTCAAGGGTTTGAGGGAGATGGCCGAGCTGGTTGGCGAGTCGGTGCCATTGCTGTCTCATCTGGGGCTACGGGCGGCTGCGTATCGCACCTGAGAAGCTCTTCCAGGCCACGGTGAGACTGACGTTCGATGAATAAATACTTGTGTGTGTTCTGTTTTCACTGTCTTTGTGTGTGTGTGTGTGTGTGTGTCCAGCAAGAGGAGGGAGGCGAGGTGCTGGAGTGGCTCGAGCAGACCGGCACATCGCTGGCCGGTGGGTACGGTGAGGCAGACGTGGGCTTGCAGGAGCTCATGATGGTCCTCACGGGGCTGCTGAAGGTCAGGTGGCGCAATGACTCCATACGAAGGTGAGTAGAGAACGAGATCTTGATATCGAAATGGTGCCTCGATTCATCCATGGTTACTGTGATGTGTTTGCAGTGACAAACGACATGGTTGAGCGATGCCTGTACCGCGGAGACCACATCGACCCCCGGGCCCTCCCTCACCAAGTTCCGCTATCCCGTGCAGCCACTTTTATCCACCATCGACCAGGCCCTCGCATACAGCACATCGTCATCGCATCACAGCCCCTACGGCACGGCTCTCCCTCCCCTCTCGCTGTGTGACTATTCGGATCAGGCACTCGCCAACTTGGAATACGCGGTGGCCAAGGGCACGGACACACTGGTCGGCTTCAGTCGCCGGTGGATCGGCAGCAGGCGGTTGAGCGATATGCTGAGTGGGTGGATGGGGAGGCACTATGGGCCAGTGGGGTGGGGAGGACTCACCGGGGCGTGGCACGTGATGAGATGGGAGACGATCAAGTCTGCTCGGATGACGACGACGAGACAGAGGACGAAGAGGTGTGGCTCATGCAAGGAGAGGAGATCGGTGTCGTCCGGGAAGACCCCCAAGGAGGCCGCCGCGAGACGACACCGAGGTGTTTCTCGATGGATCCATCCCGTCAGCCCCGCCCCATCCCCACACCACTCATCTCTATGCGCTACCTGAGCAAGATATGGAGCCAATCCAGGGCAACATCCTCAGCGTGATCCTGTACAGCATGTCAGAGGCCCACATCGACCCTCACTTCTGCCAACGAGCCCTCGCAGCCCTCAGCCACCCACGGATCCTCCACACACTCACGCCGGTCGACATTGCATGTCTACTCCGGGCGCTGGCGGCCATGCGGTTCCACAGCCTCTCTTTCCTCGACGGTGGAAACCGCAACAAGTGTCGGGTGAAACCCGCAACATGTTGCACCGGGCCAGATGCGGTTTCGCCACGAGGGGCTGCTGTCGGCGTTGGTGCTCGTGTTGGCTGAGAAGCTGCGGGAGTGTGGGCACCAAAGGCTGACGGTGATAGCGAGAGGGCTGCAATCCCTCAGGTACGGGCCAGCGGCCTTTGTCAACGCTCACGGCAACATTTTCACGCCCTGGTAAGCAGCGACGGACTGCGCATATTTGACGACGACCATGAATGGTACGTCGTCTCGTTGGCTGTGATCCACAGTTCCATGGCGAAGCTGGACTTGCCAGCTGTGGAGTGCCTCCTCGACTACCTTTCCACCATATCCCACCCAGTTCGACACAAAGCTTCTTTCACCAGCGGGGGTCTTCAGTGGATCCGATCCACCTACAACGACTGGTGCTGCAGGAGGCTGCAGATCAACTGTACATGAGCCGACACCAGTACAGGTGCAGGGGTCTCTGACTGGACGAACACGCCTCCGTCGTCGGCCCCAGCTGCGAGAATACGCGCATGACACAACCAGAGCAGCAGGGAAGGCCCCAAGAGCTCGCCAATGAAGAGGCGCTTAGCGAAGATATCCGCAGCGAAGAGATTCACGGCAGCGAGTACCTTGTGGACCTTGGCCTTCATGTCAAATTGATGGCTTCCGGGGCGCCTGTCGTCATGTGGCGTCACAGCCGACCTTCACTCTGCTGGACATCACTGAAGAGGGGGGACCGCCACTGAGGGCAGAGGAGATGGCCGTCCAGGCGATGACGACGGAGTTCGAGAAAGCTGCCGGTGAGCCAAATGAAGAAGTCGAAGGGCACACAGCACATCCGTCTCTATTGCATTGATTCAGGATACCCGGCGGCATTTGAGAATCGCGTCTCGTCTATGAGGACACTGTCATAGTGGATAATAGAGAGACAAGCCAAGTGCGCGAGGTGCTGGTTGGCACTCATTTTTCACCTGAGTCATTCATAAGGTCATTGCGGCACACAAGTGCTCTTTGCCCTTATTCTCGCGCTGCCGCTGGTCTTGGCGGTGCCCCTGGTGTGGAAGACTTGCGAGTCCAACATGGCCATCGCGTTTGATTATGCAAGAATTGTCATCGGCTGCTTGGCATTCATTCTGTTGTTCGTGGCGCTGGTTGAGGGGTGCCGCCCATGTGGAATGCTCCGGCGCATCCGCCAGTTTTGGGTTCCTTTTGTGATAGGCGTAGTGGCCTATACTACCTCGCAGACCCTGGCGAGATACCCTCAGCTGAAACCTTTGATGGCGACCGTGAATGGCCTTTGTCGCAAGATGCGGGACGGCCCTCCTCTTTCAACTTCGCGATTATCTTCCCCATCATTGTTGGCTCGCTGATAGTACCGCGCTTCCTCCAAGTGAGGATAATGACTTCTCAACACATGGATGTTGAGACATTCCCTCTGTGCAGGCTGAAATGACTGCCCTCTGCTACAAAATCAAGTCGTCTCTGCTGTTCGCCCTCTACGATCTCCTTGGCGATCTGGCGGTGCCCTATGCTGACATGCTCCATGTCAATGCCATCCGGATCTGCACACGTATCCGCGACGGCCGCTGGCCCAAAGCGGGAGACACGGTTGGCATCCATGGCCTTTCCGAGACTTCAGGCAGCAGCGAGACAACCCGCACACGGGCAACGAGAAGGAAGGGAGCAGCGTTATTCATCAAACGAGCCGGCAGTGAGATCTATCAGAGTGTGATGCGGGCAGGCCGCATGCGGTCGACAACAAGCGGGCTATCATCCATGGCGTCCGTGGTCGATCCGCAGAGCAACTTTATGGCGTATGACGTCCGTCCGAGGTACCTTCGGGCGTTGGCGGACCAAACTCATGCCTACAACCAAGCCGTCATGAATCTGTCGTTGATGCAGTGGCCTGAAAAACGGGTCCCTCAACGTGTGCTTCGTCAATTCCATCGTCCAGCTGATGGTCCACTCGCTGCGCCTCATCGGTACCTCACCCGGACACAGAGCGCATGAATATGCACACATGGCGACCTTTGTGTCTGTTCCGTGTTGCTGTGCGTAAGTGATGTGTTTCAGAGCCTGTCCGAGTATCTCACGTCGGTTTTCCCAGATGTAGAGCCGCTTCTTGCCAACTACGCATGCCCGACGTGACGACTGTGTGTGGGGGTCGCACCCTCACGCGAGCGCCCTTCCATGCTTCGCGCGAGTAAGATGTATTGGCATTGAAGATGGAGCAAGATGCTTGAATGAAGGTCTGAACATCACATCAACGCAGTGGCACGTAGAATTCCAAGGGAACTAAGACCATTCAGGAGAGAAAACACCTGAGGATCAGAAGCTCAAACGCTATGGCAACAGGCAGCGACAGAGCCACAGTAGTCTTCGCATCAACAGAGACACACGACAGACACGCATTCCAGACAGCACTGCTTCTGTCAAAGGCCAGCAGCAGAAGGAAAACAGTGCGTTACACACGCATGAAGACGACAGCAAAAAGGCACTCCTTGAGGAGCCTTTTGTGTGGCTCTCCGCTGGCAGCCATGTCATGGGCTATCGTGTGCGCGACGTCCTTCAAAATCCTGAACACATCCACATGGGAGGATACATATGGACTGGCACTTTCTGCCGTTGCTTTGGCCCCGTCCGCACGTTCAACAGAGATGACAACACACGCGGTCAGAGAGAGAGAGAGAGAGAGAGAGACAGGCGCGCGTGTGTGTGTACGTGTGTGTGTGGGTGAGTCTCAATGACATACGAGGAGCTCTCGCTGTCCGACGCCCTGTGACAGACCCTCTGGGAAGCTGCAGAAGCCGCATAAAAGAGACATGCGCTGATCAAGTATGCCTCCACCTTCAGCAATATAAAATGTAAGCAGCGATGAAAGTTGAAAGCACAAATGACAAATAAGTGTGTGGACCCCTCAGTGAATCGATGTGCGTGTGTGTCTGTTTTCTGTGAGTCTGGGTCTTCTATGGATACCAGCCGTTGCTGCATGTCTAGCAACTGCCGTTGGGGCCTTTGAAATGGCCGCCCTGGACTCGGCCTTGTTCTCGAACAGCCCTTCCCGGCACGAGGCGAAATCATCCTCCGCACCCTCCCGTCGCTGCTGCCGTCCCTGCCCAGAGAGACCATCCGCAAGCACCAGAAGCACCCGGAGGACCTCACGCACCAACTCGTCGAGCAGAACCCCACCCAACTCATCAAGAAGTCTGCCCGTTTGTTGTGTTGTGTTGTGTTGCTTACTTTGGGCCATTGTCATCGGACGAATAATACAGCCCCAGGCGCTGTTTGAGCCTATCGTAGAGGTCCTCGATCCTCTGCCGGGCCCCGTATGCTGATGCAGAAAGTCCCACAGGTCCTTCTCGGGCGGCACCCTCGCCGCATGCATGACCGCTGCCTTGTCCATGGCGTCGAGGACGCCGTAGATCTCAGCGAAGTCCCGCGCCTCCTTCGGCACGCCAAGCGCATCCATGCACTCCTCCACCTCGTGACGGCTGCTGGCATCCAGTGCCGTCTCCTCTCTCAGCTGCTGCAGCTTGACGACTTGCTGCTGTGACAAAGTGCCGGGCAAGGCGGCATTGTGCGCATACTCGACGGCGGATGACGGGCCGTCAGGTAAGAACTTGACGCCCGATGATGCCAGTTGTCGGAAGAGTGGGTTGGGAGAAAAGCCGCCATCGGCCGTCGGTATGTCAATGCTGGCCGCTTGATGCATCCGGAAGGGTGCGTAGGGAGCGCCTCCATGACGGGCCGGCAGCTGAAAGACCTTGAGCTGACGATCAGACACTCATGCTGCGGTCCTCTGCGCAGTCCCGAGAAGCACATAGGGCCAGCTCAAAGGCTCTGCAGGCCACAGCAGCAGGGGTGCAACTGACAAATTAAGTCCCGCTGCTGCAGGGGTCGGGCAAGGTGGCATTCCACCTACTCGGGATGCGCGGATCCGTAAACTCGTCGATAAATCTTTCGCGTCTCCGTCTCAAATGTTTTCTCGGAGAAAAAGAAACCCACGGGCGTTCTTGCCCGTAAGTCGGTTAATTCGCTTTCTTTGCAATCGGACTTATTTTAATCTGAAACGGACTTTTGCGTGCCAACTGACGATCGAACTCATCGATGACTGAACGTATAAACGCACAATGCACTCACGCAAGGAACATGAATGCGATGAGTCATCTACATGTATGCACACGCACATGGAAATGAGTCAGTCAGGAGGGGCTTGACACGCTATCTACACCTACTCCTCGCCACACCATCTCACCCCTCCTCAGCCTCGATATCCACGTTGACATCGCCCTCTGCTTGTGCTGCTTCTGCTGCTGCTGCTGCTCCACGTGATGCTGCTGCGGCTCCACGTGATGGTGCTGCTCCTGCTCCGCTCCTGCCTCTCCCCCTGTTAGCGCCGCCCCTGCCCCGATTCCTTCGCTGGGCCCCTTGCTGCTTAGCTGCGGCGGCCTTGGGCACACCCTTGTCGTCCATATCCTCGTCCATCTGCCCACCGTTGTACCGCAGCAAATCGGCGCCCTCTGAGTGCTGGCTGCCCTGAATGGCCGACTGCTGGAGCGACGAAAGGCCAGAAACGCTCACCTGACACACAAACACACACACACACACACACACATGCACACATCCATTTACGCCGTGCACCCACCTCTCCCTGTGCTCCTTCCTCACCGCATTGCGTTTCGACGCCGCCTTGGGCTTTTGCTTGGCGAGTGCCTCGAGGCCCCCCTTTGTTCAGCAGCACTGACTCGGAGGGAGGCTCTCTCACAGAGGGAGCTGCTCCTTACACAGGGACTTCTGCTGCAGGGCGGTCCTGTGCATCTTCTTCTCGGCAGCGTACAACCGACCTGAACGGCGGACACAACAAGCAACGACAATGCAATGAACAGATGGCCTGAGGTGGGGTGGTGTTCGCCTCTCTGATGCCGCAGAGTGCTCCCGGTTTCATTTCTTCACTCATCGACCACCAGATACAGACGACCCAGGGTCAAACTGAGGGGGGTCTGTTTCGTCTGACCGCCGGCCCGGCGGACAGACGACATGTACCCCCTCTCGCGTGCTGGTAACTCAAGATCGGGATAGAATCCCACAAGATCGCCTCCAGACTCGCATAACCTTTCACACCTTTGCTGCGTCTCGCTCCATAGGATGATGACTAAGCCGTCAAAGGTCTCACGGGCTGCGCGAAAGAAAGGGTGTTGAATATCGGCATAAGGAAAGACACCCTTGCGCAGCGGTGGCCGATATGCCGTTAGTGAGGGCAGCTGGAAGTGGGAGAAGAAGGCTCGGGGGGACGCGATGTGCGTTGTGAGGCGCATGTCTCTCTCAGTGGTTTTCTCTTGTTTCTCGTTTCCGTTCCGGCACCAGTAGCAGTCCAATAGGCGAGAGAAGAAGAGCCCAATTCTCCAGTTGATTCCCCACCTGCCGGGCGGTCTCTTCTGTCTCGCCCTCAGCTTGTCGGCTTGGCTCATATTGGATTGGCTATCCAGCCATCTGTCAAATGCGGCGACGATGGTCTCAAGATTCTGGCCGCAGAATCTGTCGCCATCAGTGAGGATTGGCTCCCTTACGAAGGTGATGGGCTCGAGGAAGTGGGCAGTGGCCGCCGAGCCGGTTGTGAGAGCTTCGGCCGGGTCCTTAGCTGGCGGCTGCTGTCTCTCACCAAGCGACGGGACCTGCATCTCCTGCAGCAGCTGCAGGAGTTTTTCCAGCCCGTCGATCACACCAATAAGAGCGGCCTTCTCGTGATCCCTCGCGTTACGTCCACTCAGTAGCCGCTGATGTCCTTAGGATCAGTGACATTCACGCCACTCTCCACAGCCGCCTGCGCCACAGTTAGCTCATGTACATGGTGCAGCGGCCTGAGTGGAGGTGCAGATTCACAGCCGATAGGCATGGCTCCCAGCTCGTGCGTCTCCAGTTCTGAAGCAAGACGGCTGTGGAGCACTTCGTTTGTCAGGTAAGGTGGCGTTGGCCGTTCACCGGACGAGCCAAATGCTGCCAGGGTGTCTTGAGAACCGCAAAGGGGCGGCCATTGATCTTTTTCATCTATCGTGTCTCCAAAGACGCGTATCGGTGCCGATAGTCGCGAAGGTAGCGGTATGCGGATCTTGCAGGACGTCCGTTCCCTCAGTGATTCTGCCGTTGGGGCCATAGTAACGAAAGTGATGGCGTGGCTAGTACCGTCGAGGACGAGGTGAAGGTTGAGTAGTTAAAGGAGTAGCGGGTGTCAGTCAAAGTGGCCTTGAAGCCTTCATAGGTCTCTCAGCGCCGGTCTCGCCCGATTCTCTTTCCTTCCCACCATTGCCCGAGCAGCATAATGCCAATCGACATGTGCTGCTCGACTGTGGCTATGGCTCGGGCAGCAGTTTCCTGTCCCTGACATGCATTCACAGAAACATTGCAAAAGCATTGCCTTCATTCATGTGCAGCGGTCCGCTTGCAGCAGACCTCGTCAGCTGCAGCCTCGCGAGATCTGAGCTCGCAAATCGTCAGCCCCCATTCGCACGGAGTAGTTGGTACGGCAATGTGGACGCCACGAGAGGAAAATCTCGCTTCTGTTGGGGTCCTCTCTTCTTTGCTGGCCCTGGAGGTCGTTCTTCTTCTTTGCTGGCCCTTCCGTGCGAGGAGGCCATGCTGAATGTGGATGAGGAGACCGATTTCATCGTGATAGAGAATAACAGGTGAGCTGAGAAAGGCCACAAATGAAGCGACAACATGCCTTGTTCGTATTCGTGCGCGTCTTCTGTCAGCAACCCTTTTGGGTCCACCGCAACGCCGCCCGACTCGGCCCCTTTCTCCTCGCCGCCCTCCCCGCCCTCCCCATCCCCGCACTCTCCCTCCCCGCCCTCTCCCTGCCCCATCTCGCCGAGCCATCCATGCCCTCTCCCTGCCCTCACTCCGGCCGCCATCGGGCCGGCACTTGGGCGCGCCATCAGCACCAACATTGCATGGGTGACGTTTCATGAGGCGAAGGTGCTGACTGACGCGGGGGAGCACAGGGTGAAGCTGGCTCTGAAAACGCCCCGACCCAACCCGGAGGCCGAGTACAGTGTGGCCCATGAAGGGTTTATGCTGTATAGCCAGATGAGGGCCTGGCAGCAGCACAAGGGGCTACAGGCAAGGCTGAAGGAGACACTCGAGAGGGAGGCGAGGTGGAAGAGGAGGTGGCAGCGTACGGCCCTTGGAGGGCACGGCACTGAAGACGGGTGGTTTTTGCTGATGTGAATTGTGAGCCGGTAAGAAAGAAATATGACAACCCAATGGTGACAACCTGAGTATAGTGTCCGTGTGTGCCGGGTGCCGAACAGGCCCATGTGGCTGTTGTCCGCTCCATCAGCGCATTGTACGGGCCAGGGGGGTGACGACGACGACGATGACGATGAGTGCCCTTTTCGTTGCTGAGAGAGGGGGGGGGGGGGGGGGGGG